GCTATGCAACTAGGCTTGCCAGCCTTGGAACGCGCAGCGAGATTAATGGTTGAACCAGAAAAATGCCTGAAGACTGATATGGCACATGCTATCACCCACTCCTCGTTCTTTGATAGCGCGGATGTGGTAGTCCAGCTCAAGGGTGACACCGTTAAAGTGCACAGCCAAGTTGTATGCGAGAGATGCCCATTCTTTGATGTTCTTTTCAATGGCCGTGCGGGTGGAAAGTGGATAGCATTGCGCAAAGCGGACCCTACCGAGAAGGTGCATGTTGATCTGAAGCACATTGATCGTTCCGTCTTTGACTTTGTACTGCGTTATCTGTATGCTGATACCGAGGAGCGTCTTTTCGATGAAGTTCGGACGAACGATGTTGACGACTTCATTGATCTACTCCTGGATGTTATGTTTGTGGCAAACGAGCTTATGATCGACCGACTGTCTCAAATCTGTCAGAAGATGCTTGGCCGTTTTGTCACAACTCGCAACGTGTGCTACCTTCTTAACTCTGTCACCCCTTGCTACGTTACAGAGTTCAAGGATGCTGCTCTGGAATACATTTGCCTCAATATGGAGGCTATGTTGGCTAACAGATATCTCCACGATTTGGACGACAGTCTCCTCCACGAGTTGGATTTGATCTGCCACGAAAACCAACTATCTTGCTGGCCCGTTTCCCGTGGACGCAACTCTGAAGATTATGTCTTCGAGAAATATCCTGAGATCGTCGGCTCCGTTGAGACAGACAAGCAGCGAAGGATTGACGCCATGGCCTTGCAGACTCGCCTCGACCGTCTTGAATCGTACGACGTTCGACCTCGGCAGACACCAATTGAGAAGGTCACTGTATCTTCATCGATGCGCAAAGGGAAGAACGCTTCCCCGAAAGAGTCGCCAATGGCCGGCAACAGTCCGATGCTCAAATCGAGGCAATCAGCAAGCGATCTTATGTTTCAGATGGATGACGAAGGTCTTATGACACCCGATTCGAAGGGCAAGGGTGCCATGCGTGGAGTTAAGTTTAGAGAAGGTATTCCCGAGGATAGATCGTATCCTGATTCCCCGTCATTGGGAGCAAGCCTACCAGAGGCCATGTCATTGGGCGAGGGTAACTTCTTGGATGATCAAATGGCTTCTCCACAAGACATGACACTCGCACAGTCTCCATCCGAGACTAGGGCGATTACTCTCAACCAGAAGCGCGCTGTGCCATCACTATCTGGACCTTCGTCCGCGCCATGGAGTCCGCCTATGATCTCGAGCTCCAAGAAGGATCTCAAAGACATCATGGGGGAAGCATCACAGTCCCGGGTGTCAAACCTTACGCTGGGGATGGCAGACCGACGTGAAAGCAGTGGCAATTTCACACCAAAGATTTCCCAAAAAGAGAGAAAGAAGATCCAACAACAGCAGGCGCAGGAACAGCTGGCTGCGCAGCAGAAGGCGAAAGACGCACCCTCGAACCCCTGGCAAAAGCCAGCACCTCCGCCAGTAACGCCAGCCAAACTCGATCCTCTACCAAGCCAAAGCGTTCAATCTCCCGAGCCTGCTAAAGCAGCCCAGAAATCCATGACTATGCGACAAACTGTAGCCGGCACACCCCCACCAAAGTCAAAGCCAATTGCAACACCAGTGCAAACCCAATACCGCAGCATTTCAACCAGCTTGCAGACAGGATCCCACTCCAAGCCCTCCCCATCGGGGCCTTCCACATCGCAGACTATCACATCACCCCAACCAGCCATCCAATCAATCCGTCACATTCCCCGTCCCGATCTCACAGGGTCACGTTCTCCATCTTCAGGCTCATACTCTCTATCAACAATCCTGCTCCAGCAACAAAGTGAAAAGGAAGCAATCCGCGAAGCAGCTACAGCAAAGCACAACATGCAAGAAATCCAAGCTGAACAAGAGTTCCAGCAATGGTGGGACCAGGAAAGCAAACGTGTACAAGGGCTAATGGACCCTGAGCCAACAGAACCTCGTTCTGGCAAGAGTGGACGCGGCGGCAAAACGCCTGGTACTCCGCGCAAGCGTCGCGGTCCCAAGAATACCGCTGGCGATAGGCCTGGTACCCCAAATCAGAAGCGTCCGTCGGTTTCAGGATCTGGTCGTCCTACCCCTAAGACAAGTGCAAATGGTCCCTCTTCGGCTCAGCCGCAAAGAGTTCCGAATGGAAATCGCGCTGGTGATGGTGCTGGGATTCCTAATCCGAATTCTCGGCGTGGAGGACGACATGGGGGACAACGTGGTAAGGGGAAGGATCGTGGTTAAGAGTATAGACTGCTTTCTCCCTGCTGTTTGATTAACAGTCTGTTTTGATCCTTTGTTTCGGATGTCTTTTTGTACATTTCCTGACCCGATCAACTGCTTTGTATGAAGACATGGCTTCTATAACTTTACTTTCAATCCTTTTTTCAAGCTTCTTTCGGATCCTCTATGCAACTTTCTTTGGAACTCCCTGCTCAAACCCCCTCTTTTGAAAGACATACCTGTTTTCTTGTCTTCCTCGGTGGTCTTAAGATTTCTTCGTTAACAATAGCATTTTACTGACGGTTGGACAGTTTAGAGGTCACTGTGTAACACGATATACTCCGTTTAAGATAGACTACTCTCTATTTACTCAGTTCACTTCTGGAAAGGATACCTCCACTGAATATAATCTCTTCTCTTGAGACCTAATCTCTGACTTTCTTGTGCACAATTTCCCATCCATGCCAAAACAATACCAATATAAATCAGCTCCGCCCTATGACCGACATTCCCAATGCACATTCGCATGCTGCATGGGCCGCGAAAAGAGAGACTAAATACCCCAAAAAGTCAGCCAAACTATCCTCAAACCCACATCCACGAGAAATACATACCGAGTAATCCGTATCCGGCACACCCTCCACCCCCTCAGGATTATAAAACCTAAATTTCCTCACCATCATAGCAACAATAACCTCAAGATTAAGATACGCAAACTTCTCCCCAATACACCGATGTCTACCCGCCCCGAAAGGCAAATACGGACTTCGCGTCCCCTTAGAAACAGCCCCATACCCATAATCAACCGTTTCAGACTCATCATCCTCCTCCTCAACCCTCTCCTCCCAACGATGGGGATCCCACCGCAACGGATCCCGGAAGTAGCGCGCATCCCGCGCCGTAACGCCCGGACTAGAAAGAAGCGTATGCGAAGGCGGAACGATAAAGTCCGTCCCCGGGACTGGAAGGGGATTCTTCACTTTGCGCATGAGTGAATGGATGGAAGAGTGGATGCGTAATGTCTCCTTGACGACGTTATGGTGGAGCGGTAACTTGTCGAGATCTTTGTATTCCAATGGTGGGAGATCTGAGCCTAGGTTCTGGACTTGTTCTTCGTAGAGATTTTCTGTCATCGAGGGGTTCGAGGCTAGGCGGAGTATTATCCAGCAGCTTATTGCTGATGAGGAGTGTTGGCCTGCCATTAGGAGGGTTATCATCATGTGGGCAATTTCTTTGTCCGGGACTGGTGTGCCGTCCCGGTAGATGCTGCCCATTAGGTTGAAGATCATGTCTGTGCCTTTTGTTTTGTCTCTGGCTGAGCCTGAGCTTGGGCTTGGGCCGGCTTTGGGGCCGGCTTCTCGTCTTGCTTGGATGATTTCGAGGTAGATTGCTCGCATGCGAGCATGGGCTATGTCTCGCTTGCGGTTGTGTGGTAGTGGTGCCCAAGGCAACATGAAGTTGATTGGTTGGAAGCCTAGATCGAGGTCGTGGAAGAGTTCGGCGAATTCGGATGTTAGTTTTGACCGGACTTCTTCGCCTTGGAGGGTGCGGGCTGCTGTGAAAGTGGTTATCTCTGCCATGGCTGCAGCTAGATCGGTGGTTCCGGATTGGCCTTTGAAATTGCCCGAGGATTTGATGTAGGAGGTGACTTCGTCGGCGATTAGGGGGACGTAGGATTCTAGGGCTGTTTGGCTTAGGCCGAATTTTATAAACTGATTTAGGGGCAGCATGATCAGTACTGTGTACTTGGGTAATGAGATGGTATAGAAGAGAATTAGGTACCTTCTTTTGTTCCATGAGTTTGGAATTAGGACAGTCGTAGACAACACCGGTTCCAAAGATGGGTGTAGTGAGCTTGCTGTAGATTTCTTCGGCGTTGACATCCTTAAGTTTTCCATTTAGGATAAACTCGTTGCCTTCGACACCTAGGTAGACAGTTGTCTTCTTTCCTAGCAAAATGAAAGTGAAAATATCTCCGTACTGATTGTTTGTGAGTGGGCGACATTGGTGATATACTTCCGCAGAAAACACTCACCTTTGCACGGCACGCAAAGAAGAACTGATACGGGTCCATGCCATAGGAAACTGTACTTCCAATAAAAGGAACCCAGTGAAAGACTACAGGAGGTTCTTTCCTGCTGTAAAAGACGAGCTGGTTGATCACATTGAGGATGATTGAGACCACGAGAATTCCGGTGGTGTAGTAGGCAATCCGCAGAATCTGGCCTGCAACCAGTGACACGAGTAAGTCCATGATTAGAGAATGAAAGTAAATTGAATGTTCATCTGTACAATTAACATGTTAACTGACATGTTTATACTTATGGTCTTGTAGGGCAAATCAGCAGGGCGGGATTGGCCATTACTCATCCAGTCAGGCCATGCCCGCAACCCCGGATGTCGCATCAACCGAAAGGAATGAAAGGGGCCATTAGTAGGCAGCCAATTTGTTATGCAGGGGTAGAACAAATGAAAGTAGAGGGATTGGTGGGCACGGATAGCTGGGGTCCAGAGTGGGCTGAGGCTTGCAATTACATTTTGTAGGATTGGCTCGCAAGTTAAGATATATCAACAAATGTAAAAAGGACACAGGAAGATAGGTTATGTTCGGTCTGGATGCTGCTAATGATAATGTTAATAATGACTGAAAAAAAAAACCGAAGAAATGCCACCAACGCCAAACAACCGTGCAAGCTAAAGAATTGTCATGAACGTAATAAGGAAAAGATGAGGTGAAACGTCGTAAGTTAGCCGTGCGTGGCTACCTCTCGGCTTTCCCAGATCCGACGGATCATCATTTCGGCGTCGTTGACCTGGTAGTCTTCAACTTCGTTCTCGCCTATGAGATCCCGTGAGGCTTCGGCGGAGGTGGAGAGGATGCGAGAAGAAGGATCACTGGACTTGGCAGACTTGGTGGGGTCGCTGTTGGCCGCTGAATCTTCGATCGTGATTGGGTTACGAGTTGATGGTTTAGACGTGGGACTTGAACTGAGGCGACTGGGACGCTTGCCTTGTTGGAGAAGAGGCAAAGAGGGGGCTGGTTTGACTTGCTTGCCGAGTGCTGATGATGTTTGTGCAACCTTAGCTGCTCGGGCAACATGACGAAGTCGGGCGAAGCTCTCTCCGGTGGGAGATTGGAAACGCCGCACAACTGTGAGTTCTAGGGAGGTTTTCTCGTACGCCTTGCGGATATGCCGAGTTTCACCGTCATGTCCTGCGCCTCCAGCTCGACCGCCGCTGGTCAACCCTCGGCTGGCGTCAAATGTGACAGTACCAGGGCGCGTATGGTTGACTGTGTTGAAGGTTGGGTCAACCGTGGACGGGGCTGCCGAAGGTGGAACCCCGTGGCTATCAGGGGGAGAGTTGTTGAGAGTGGCAGTGCGTTGAAGCCATAGCTTCTGCTGTGTCCGAGAAGGCAAGTCAGCACCACGTGGGCGCGCAGGAGAAGCAGTGGATTTGCCAGTGGCGCGACCAGGAGAAGGCGGGGTCTGCGGATGGTAGTGAGGGAGGAATGAAGACGGGGTGTTCGGGTCAGAATCAGTACGGGATGATGCTTGGATGCTGTTCTTGTTGTTCATAATGAATCTCGAGACACCTCCTTCCATAGAGGATGAGGTAGCGTGAGGGTGAGAGCCAGGCATGCTGGCCATGCTGGCCGTAGAATACGTGCGGCGGGCGCTTTCCTGGCCAGCAGCCAGGTTGAGAGATGCGCTGCTGCGCGATGCGGGATCCTTGGCCGCCGGCTTGACCATCGCCGAAATCGAAGACATGGCGGGAGGTGCTTTGGCCGAGTGGGAGGGGCTGAGAAGGCGGGTTGCGATATCACCTTGCTCAGTGTGCTGGCTAGAGTTCTCGGAGTCGTTGTCAGAGTCGTGGTGGTCCTCGTCTTCCTCTTGGTCCTGGCCTTCTTCCAATTCGGCACGTTCCCGAGCAAACTTGCTTGTGATCGATTCTGGGAGACTGGTCGCCCGAGCAATCTGAGGGTAGGGGCGCTTCACAAATGTAAGGGGATCGACAAGAATAGTGGTGTTATCAGCGCTGTGGTTGGATGGCACGACAGAGTTACGCCGCGTACTTTCGGGCGACTGAGTGGTATCTTCCCAATCAGCGTCGTCGACCTCGACGTCGTCATCACCCAACTCGAAGCCGACCGTCTTCTTTTTTGCTGCACTGGAATGGGGTCGTTCGGTCACCAACGCTTTCTTCCCGACAGCCGAGTTATTCCGGCGCAAGGCAGGAGTCGAATAGTTTCTCTTCATAGGAGGAGCGGTGGGCTGATTATCGACGGCATTATCCCAACGAACATGTCCACCTTCTTTGGGGCTTGCTATCGGAGTTGCGGGCGCAGACTTCTTGCGCTGGTGATGACGCCCGGTAGTTTCGGGACCAACCTGGGCAAGTTGGAATCGCTGGAGTTTGCTCAGGTTTTTTCCGATGGAGGGGTTTCGGTGATGATTGCGGTGACCGCCAACAACATGGGCGCGGTGTGCCTTATGATGCACGGGCGCCTTCTGCGTGTGAGACTCCGACAGGTCATTCGGGTTGGCGCGCGTGACGACTGCATGAGAGGATACCGCACGGCGGCCGAGACCGGGGCGCTTGACGGGGGAAGAGGTGGTATTGGAGGTCGGCATTGCAGAGAATAGCTCCCAGAGGAGCCACAGACGGATAATCCGCGATGCTCACCTAGAACGTGGGGATTGGCCGAGGCAAAGAGGTCTCACGGCAGATCGGAGAACATGCAGGTAGAATATGAAGAGTCAACGAAGGCTGTGGTTACACCGGTTGAAAGCAGAAATCATACGCTGCGAAAAAAGAAAGAGAGAGAGAGAAGGAAGAAAAGAAGAAATCGACGTTGATCGATCTCGCTGTCTTCGGCGATTAAGTTCAAGGAGCGAGTAATAATACGGTAATTACGTTGTGTGGGGGAGCCATGTGCCGGTCACATGACATGAAATTGAAATGCATACGAGGTACAAGGTATACTGGATCTCTTTCCTTTAAGCTATTCAATCTGCTAAAAGTCTTCAGGTATCATCAGGTAAGCCAAGTAAAAATAACGCCCCAAATGCAATTACGCTACAGCTCAATCAAACTCTCCTCCACTGGCCGCGGTTGCTGATAAGGTGCTTGTCCGGGGGCTTCAGGTGCATGCGCGCTCGGTTGCCCTGTGGTCATTGGTGGGTAAGCAGAAGGTGCAGGCGGTGGTTGCTGAGGGTAATAAAATGACTGCGGGTGGGGGGTAGGGCCGGTTGGTTGCTGGTGAAGTGCTGGAGCGCTAGGGGCCACCGAGTAACCAGGCTGCGCATACCCGGTAGCAGCTGGCTGCTCGGGTACCGTAGACCCGCCTGGAGGTGCACTAGGTTGATACTGGGAGTCTCGCCGCATGACAGGCGATGGTTGGTATGGAGGTTCGGCGACTGGTGACTTGTTTGCGTCCGGATCAGATGGTCCCGCATAGTACTGAGACGGAGCACTTGGTGCGGGAGTAGTGGTATAGTTATTGGGAATAGCGTTAGGTGACTGTGCCCCGAGAGACGGGTAAGGTTTTCCACCCCAGTTCTGGTGGTGAGCCTCGTTCGGCTGAGCTCCATGTGGAGTGTGCGACATATAGGCGCCGGTGACAGCGCCAGGTGCGCCTCCATACCCTTCGGCGTTCGCCGTCTGTGGTGCATACATGGCAGTGGGTGGGCGAGAGCTGTCCGTCTGGTTGCCATAATAGAAATTCTCGGCCCCAGCTTGTGCATCGGGGGCCTGGGGAGTAAACCCGGGCTGGATATTCGGATATTGTGTTGCGCCGGGAACAGCCCCATAACCAAGACCGTGGTGTGGATAAGCATTGGAGAGGCGCTCTTCCAACATTCGATCGTAATACCTCACGACTGTTGAGAGTTTGGCATGTAGATCGAGTAACGTGTCTGTCGACGTCAGCTTGTGATGCTTTACAACTCGAAGGAGGGAACTCACCATGCTTGCTCATAGTCTCTCCATAGCTACGGGCCAACTTCGGTCGAAGGGAACCGATACTCTCATATAACTCCTGGATCTGTGGCTCTCTGAGGATTGTTCCTGGGGGCTGATGTTGAAGCCGGTCAACGAGCGTTGAAAATAGATGGATGTTCTCGGCTTCCACGGGTGTAAGTTCATAGGGATTCTTAGGTAAGGGTGTCGGCGTGCTGGACGAATCACGGATTGCAGAACTTGGAGTAGGAACGTTCTTCAATGCTGCTGCATGGTTTTGTTTGTGTTGTTCCATGTCTCGCAGCGATGCTTCGATCGCAGCCTTGAGGTCTGCATCGTCCTCCTCTTCCACGTGGGCTAGTCCAGGAGTGGGATTGGTCGCTTCTGGGACATTGACAGTCTGCGGTACGAATCCCGAACTTCCTCTGCCCTCGGCCTCATCGAGGCTCATCTGTAACGCGCGACGCAAATCTTCGTCGAATCCGGTATCGGCTTTGGCAGCTCGGGGTTCCATTGAGCTAGATTTTGTGATGGAGTTGTTTTTAAACGTGGATCGATCCGATACTCCCGGTGGCGCAAACGACTTGGAGTTCAATTTGGCATAGCATCCATCATCCACCCTGACAGGCTGCAATATTCCAAGATGTGGCAACGGGATAGTCTTGCTGGAACATTGAGCATCGAAGACATTGCCACAGTTTCGGCAATGGTGTTTGCGATTCATGAAACTGAAGGCTGTCCGGCATCGCATACAGACATCGGAGTCAATCCACTCCGGAGGCTGAGACAGGACATGTTAGCTTCCACTTTGGCGGCAAAGGGCCAGGACACTCACAGCACTGCTTTCCAACATACTGCCGCTCATTTCTGTCTTTGGCGGAAATCGGTACCCCTCGCTCTGGAGTTTACGATATGTGTCCCCAACGTACATCAAATCCATTCGGCCCTGCGCAGCCATAGCCCAATTTTGGATGAGCTCCAACATCTTTCCTTGAACATCTGGATTTAATGGGGCGCCTTCGGATTTTAGTAATGACACAAGGTTATCCATGAATTCCCGAGATGCGATCTCCGCTAGAAAGTGGGTGCCTCCGTTTTTGACACACGTATCTGTTAACTGCAGACGCATGATCAGCACTTGTTTTAACGTAACGCCGAGGAGATAAATGTCACTCACCTTCAGAGTCGCCAGCTGAATGTTGGGGTTCCTATTCTCGAGCCGTCGCTTCAACGATCTCATCGCTTCTTTGGGCTGCACGCTCTTCGATCGAACCATGTCGGATATTTCCAGATTGAGGGCAATGTCCTCCCTAGGAGTAGGTTAGCCAATCGATCGCTCTGGGCAGATGATCCACCAGGGAAGAGCCCATCTATAGGCGTAATCCCTGTAGGCAATCACTTACAGCGAGGAAGCCGTTGCCCGCTCGATCTGCTCGTCGAGAGGCGACGTTGAAGAAAACCAACCAGCCATGATGAAAGTAGACACCAGGCGCGATACTTGACACAAAGCGCAGTAGCTGCAGGTAGATGCGAATATGGCAGACTGATAAGTGGAGGAGGGAGCTTCCAGTTGACTAAGCCCCTGGCGTCATAGGCTGGGGGCGGTGAGGTATTGTCATCTGATTACCCCAGAGACATCCCGCATTGCGTTCCTGGATTCTGTCCTCTTTTCTCTCTTCTGGTCTCTTGCTTTCATTTGCTCTTTAATCTGAAGGGCCTCCAGGGTTACCCCCGAGATCCCTTCTTGCCATCCGTCAACTTGAACATAATCATGCGCTAAGTCCGCTCGCTGCTTGGATCTACCATGTCCTCCGATGCGGCGACTTTGCCATCTCCACCAAACATACCACCGTGGAAGGACAGCCGTCCTTACTCGGTGGGGGAAACCATGCATTCCACGCAGGTCAGCAGACCGGACTACCCAAATGGCACTTCTATCCCGCACCGCTCTCGATTTCCGAATATCAAAGACCTGCAGGACCAGGCTGCTTCATTAAATGTGAATGATAGCACACCGGTATGTGTCCTGATGGCCCCTCGAAGGGGTATGGCCTCTATTTACTGACGCGCATTATAGCTCAATCAACTCCTGAGAACGGCTTCCGAGGCAATCGAACAAGCCATCACCCTAGTGGAGGATAACTACCCTGACAAGGCTTACATACAATATCTTCGCGCCTCTGAAATCACCATCAACATCATTCCCCATCATCCAGACTATCGAACCACGGTCAACCAGCGTCCTGGCTGGTACAAGGAGTTTGCCGATCTCATGATGTCGGTCAGGACCAAACAAGGCACCATGGACACAATTAAGCAGGAGATCATTGAGGATAACTTGGCAAGTGGAATGCAGCCCACCGGTGGATTTGCGTCAAGGTCACCACAACAAGCTTCTGCCACACCGAGGAGCCGCGAGAATCGTCAGTCTGGAGCAGACTCGATCAGAATGCCGAGTCCTGGTCAGTTCCAAAGAATACCCGACCCTCTTACGCATACACAAAGATTCTCCAGTCCCCCAGATGACATTCTCGCGCAACGATTTGCCAAACTTAAGGCATCTCCACCCTCGAACCAATATGAGTTAGGTTCAAGTCCGGCTGGACCGGGAAGCCCGACTCTGGGATCTGCGGAGACTCCACTTCATCCGTCGAACGCGAACTCGGGGCCTTACAGCTCCCCGCCGCCAAGACGTCCATTAGGACCTCGTGGCATGGGGTCTTCTCCTAGTGTGCCAACTATTCCTCCGAAAGTTCCACTTACAACCTCGCTCCCACGTGCCCCAGACCCAGCTTATAGCCCTATTTTCACCGTTCCCTCGAAGCCTCCCTCGAATCCCCCAAGAACTTCCATCGAGAGCACGCGATCAGTCAATCCGCGGTATTCGCAATTTACCAGCTCTCCTCACAGGAGTCCGAGTCGCGGAGGCTTCGATGAAAATCCCTACAGATCCCTGACACCCAGTGGGATGGACTCAGCGCGAAGCGATTCACCGGATCTGCCATATAGCACTTCAATTACTGCACAGAGTCTGCTTGAGAACCTGCGAAAGTTCAATGTGCTGCTCATTGATGTTCGGTCCCGGGACCAGTATGATAATGGGCACGTGTATGCAAAATCCATCATTTGCATAGAGCCTGTGGTCTTGAAAGAGAACGTGTCTGCCGAGGAACTGGAGGAGCGTCTCGTTGTTTCGCCGGAACACGAACAAACCTTATTTGAGAAGCGGAATGAATATGATCTCGTAGTTTACTACGATCAAAACGCTGATTCTGTCAGTTATCTCGCTGGTTCACCAGTGGGGACATCCGCGCCGCATTTGAGAGCTCTCCATGACACTCTCTACGAGTTCAATGCATACAAGCCGTTGAAAGCCGGGCGACCTCCTGCTCTTCTTCTCGGTGGGTTGGATGCATGGATCGATCTCCTTGGCCAACAGTCACTCGCCACATCTTCGACCGCTGCTGTCATGAGTTCGCTGCAGGCCAGAAAGCCCGTACCTCGTCCTGGCCGAGGTTTAGGAAGGGTTCCTACAATGGCTAGCGCTAATTCGAGCCTGGAAGTTCGGAAACGGCGACTGCGCGAGTTTACTCCCCTCAACTCGAAGGAGTTATCCGAGTGGATGGAGAAATCCAAAAACGAGGAGATCGATACAAGCACCTACGGTGAGGAAGAAACAGAGGAGCCAGAGGAATCCACGCAAGAGCCCTCGACTCCATTTGTCCATACATATGAGGCTTTCTTGCGTCGATTCCCCGAGCCGCACCATGTTCAGCAATCTATGACGCACCCAGATTCTCGTCCGCCGCCTGGCCCTACTCCGAATTACGCTGCGCAGATGCCGGCGGCCCCGTCACGGCCAGCTCCTGCGGTCCCACGTCCCAGCTACAGCGGAGTTTCCGATGGCCGACATATTCAACCCCACCTGGAGCGACAAAATTCTGCAAGCAGAACAGCTCTCTACATGCCAACCTCTAACCTTGGCCGCCTTAAACTTCCGCGTACAGGTTTGACCAATTTCGGTGTCACATGCTACATGAACTCTACCATCCAGTGCCTCAGTGCAACGGTCATGCTGAGCAGGTTCTTTATTGACAATCAGTTCCGTTACTATGTACAGAAGAACTGGAAGGGATCCCAGGGCGTCATGCCAGGATTGTATGCTAATCTAACTCGGTCGCTGTGGAAGAATGATGTTGAGGTTATTATGCCAACTTCTTTCCGAAATTTCTGTGGGCGGTTGAATCGGGAATGGGCTATTGATCGACAGCAAGATGCCAAGGAATTCTTCGATTTCGTGGTGGACTGCCTCCATGAGGATCTTAATATTAACTGGCAGCGGACGCCCCTACGGCCCTTGACATTTTCAGAGGAGATGCAACGGGAACGAATGCCGGTGGCCAGAGTTTCCAAAATCGAATGGGACCGGTATTGCCATCGCGAGGAGTCATTTATATCGTCTCTTTTTGCAGGACAGCATGCTAGTCGACTACGTTGCACAACCTGCAAAAAGACGTCTACCACCTACGAGGCCTTCTACAGCATCAGTGTCGAGATCCCGGTTGAAGGCACAGGCGACATCTATGACTGTCTACGGAGTTATTGTAAAGAAGAAATGCTGAGTGGCGACGAGGTCTGGAAGTGCCCGCACTGCAAATGCAAGCGAATGGCCACCAAACAGATCATCATCACACGAGCACCCCAGATCCTAGTTGTCCACTTCAAGCGGTTCTCGGCATCCAAGACCCAAAGTGCGCGAAAGATCCACACCCCCATCGAGTTCCCACTCCATGGTCTCCGGATGGACGACTTTGTCATCTCATACCCGAGTGCCGCCCCCCAGGATCCCCGGGCTCCACCACCCATGGGCGCCACCGTTCCGCCGTTTACATACGATGCCTTTGCTGTACTCCGGCATCTCGGATCCTCGATGGGAAGCGGACACTACATTTCCCTGGTCCGCGATGCGGAGCGGCAGTGCTGGCGGAAGTTTGACGATGAGAGGGCCACGGACTTTAACCCCCGGGACCTCCGATCACGGGATCGATTGCAGAACGAGCAAGCGTATATTGTGTTTTATGAGCGAGTTCCAGCGAAATGAGCGTTTTAGCATCTGTTACGATCATGGATAGAGTATACAGCAATTAAGTTGCTTTGAACATGAAAGTGTTCCGTCACAGCGGAAAGCGGATACCCGACGGCGCTACCCGAGCCATGATCCCCGAGGTTACGGCTATGCAGGGAAAGAAGATGGCAGTTGGGGTACCAATTACCTGTCAGTCACCTAGTAGTTAGTCTAGTCTTGTGTATCTACTGTATGTGCATAACAGAACATTGTGGCCAGATATGCCAGACTGTCACTATTCATATGCACGAATAAGCAGCATCTGATTCGTCGAAACATAATAGTCTCTCGCAACACTTTCACAGCATTTATTATCAGTTTCTATGAAGATAGTGAATGTAACTACCCTCTGAGTACACTATACCGCCACCTAAATAAGTAATAATACGCAGTAGACAACGCCATATACTCCGACCTTTTTCGGGTGTAATTCGCGGCATCAACAGTCGGGCCCCACCGAGACCGCTCAGGGCGCACGTACCAACAACTTTCCCTTTTCCTTTGGATCTTGGACTTTGCACATATCTCTCTTCACTTCTCTGCACTTCGATCTCCCTCGGAATACCCCGTAAGTGTCTGTCAGACTTGTCACACTTGTCGTATTACCCCCAATCCCAACTTCTCCCGCGTCCCTCTCCTATCGCGCCCCCGCCGCTCCGAGCCCAGGCCTCTCTGCTCCTGCACACCTCACAGACCGCTAACAAGTCTCCCATCACCTACAGACCCCTTAATTCACCATGTCTGGATCCGCCGAATTCACTTTCAAGCAGATTGCTGAGCACAACACTAAGAAGGACCTCTACCTGATCGTCCACGACAAAGTCTACGACTGCACCAGCTTCGTCGATGAGCACCCGTACGTTGACTCAGTGTCTATATCTACAATCTCCAGAACCCCTCCTCCCTCCCCGGAGATAATGCGCTCTCCCTTACCCTGGCGCAAAGCGAGAAAGGGGCCAGCGAGAAACGGGCGAAAAAATCCCAACAGACTCTTTCTCCCTCGCCTCTCCCCTATCGCACCACTCCACCGCCAATTTCACCATCTCCGCACCCTCAGATATCCTCAGAATAAAAAACCGCTAACAATTTCTCTAGTGGTGGCGAGGAAGTCCTCCTCGACGTTGGCGGCCAGGACAGCACCGAAGCCTTCGAGGATGTCGGCCACAGTGACGAGGCGCGCGAGATTCTCGATGGTCTCCTCGTTGGCACAGTGAAGCGTATGGTACGTACCGAATCCCCCAGTACCGCTGGAGTCCTATCCAACAAAAATCAACACATCCAACCACGCTCTCTATACCCTCGGCAACACGCCATGTGATCCCACATGCACACCGAACATAAGACATCAGAAACCATATACTAACAACCCTCCAGCCCGGTGACCCTGAGCCCCAGAGCCACGCAGCCCCCGCCTCCTCCTCATCCTCCTCCTCATCTTCCACCGCCGGCTTCGGCGTCGGTCTCTACGCCGTTATCCTCATCGGCGGTGCCATCGCCTACGGCGCATACAACTACCTCCAGGCTCAACAGCAGCAGCAGTAAGCCGGTTATGGAGTGTAGAGTGTGCTACGAAGGTGTTGGTGTCTGTATGTGCAATGTGAATATGCATTTCTGCAATGTTTACAGCAATTAGAAGATCAAGATGAGCATGAATCAGTTCTGTTTTCTTTTTTTCATCAATGGTCTCGCGAGATGGGATGGGCTAAAACTGTGCACGTCTGAGTTGCATACGCCTTCTGAGTGAGGGTTTCGGGTCTCGGGTCTATGTATCCTTTCTTCTTGTCGGATTTTCATTTTATGCTTATATTCTTTGGTTAATTACATGTTTGAGCTGGACCTAGATTTCTCTGCTTCGTTTTTTTCTTTTTTAGATATTGATTTCAACAATCCTACTCTATAAGTTATATTATAGTCACTATGACTGACGACTTCCAATATGACCACGATATGAAGTGGAATATTGACACTATCTCATATCAAGCGGGTCAAACAAAAAGGAAAAGAAACGCAGATCAACCAGCGGAATACATTTCTCTTTTGGGCGTCACTTTCCGCCCACCAATTCCGACAATTCTGGTATGTTCATTTGCCGATTGCCCTCCTTACTCCTCACTCCAACATCTCCAATTGTCTGATGGTGTGGTGTGCGGGGAAGTTTCTAGGCTTGGCTGTTCTTTGGGGTTCTATTGTGTTCTTTTTTATATCTTCCAGGTATGTACACATTACTCCGCAGGTTGTATATGTAGATTGTGCTGGTTTGGTTGTTGTGCTTGGCGAATGAAGTACAGTAGATATTCGGATTGTGGGTTCAGTTTGGGGTATCCGGGAGGGAAGGTGTCGGCGAGCTACACCACGTTATGTTGTACTGGGTCTTATAGCTCTAGTTAGATAGATATGTAGACGAATTCTCACTAACTGTTAGCTATTGACCGAAAGGAATTACAGGTACTCCGCTAATTAGATCTCAACAGAGTCTGATTTGTCTGGTATAGAAGAGAAGAGAGAAAGTTGGGAAATGCACATGAAATATAGAAGAAAATCAAGCAAAGAAATGAGAAGAAACACTCTTTTAAAACGAATATTCATGAAAGTAGATATGACAAGTGTTAAAAAAAAAAACAAAATATTCCAGAAAAGAATGAGTCCAGACTAAATTAAAACAGCAAAAGGCGATCCCGCTCGCTCGCAAGTATTTATGAGCCGGCTTCCTATGTAAAGAGAAATAGGAAAAAATAAATAAACACAAAATTAACCATTTTTAGAGGACTCACACATTTTACCGCGCACCGTTCAAACCATTCTGCACAGCCTCCAGGATCATCTCCTTCGCCTCGTCCAAGCCGGCAGCACTACCCCGGATCTCGATTGCTTCACCGCGACCTTGGTCCTTAGGCACGTTGATGCGGCAGCCGGTCTTCTTGCGGATAGCGTTGATTTGACTGCCACCCTGGCCGACGACGTAGCGGTAGGTCTTGGGGTCGGGCAGGATCAGGTAGCCGGTTGCGGACTGGGCGGCGGCCACGGCGATGGCCTTTTCGATGACCGCGCGGGCCTTGGCTACGTTCTCTGGGGAGCCGGTGAGGACCCAGGGGAAGGGTTTGGCGGTAGGGTCGGCGGCGACGTTGTTGTCGATGATCTTCCAGGAGTGAGCGTCGCTGGGTGCATTGGGGTCGTCGATGATCAGGGGCATGTCGGGGGCGTTGGCATTGCGGGTTTCTTCGGAGGTGGTGTTGACCGGGACAGTTTGGCCGGCGTGGTCGACTGTTACCTGGTAGTCGTTACGGAGGCGGCGGAAGATCTGGCCGTTATCGGAGATGGCGTGGTGCAGGTGGCGGGGGACGTCAACGGTCTCGGCGTGCTGGTCCTTCAGCATGGACTGGAGGTGCTCCTTGGCGCTTTCGACGGCAGTGCTGGGTCCCTTGAGCTTGACGTCGGTGCGGCCCGAGCCTTGCTTGGGGATGTCCAGGGTGACGTTGAACTTGGACTCGATGCCGCGACGGGTTTCGCCGCCACGGCCGATCAGCATGCGGTGCTGGGCAGTGGGGACCTCAAGGATTTCGGTGACCTGGTCCTCACGCTCCTTGACGAATGCCTCGATGGCAGCGATGATGTTGTCAACGATCGTGCCATTGCCCTCAAGGCGGATGGTAGACTCGGTGCTCTCCGCACGGGGGAAGCGGACCATTCTGGCGGCACTGCCGTCGTTGGGGCCACCGGCGTCGACAACGATCTTACGGATGTTGGCACCTATAGAAACTCAGTAACTGGAATGAGAGTAGGGTTGATAGTAACATACCGCCTCCACCGATCAAAGCCTTGTGGTACTTCTTGTCGACATCGATAGACTTGGTGACGGTAGCATCAAACTCAGTAGCGCGCTGCTGCAAGATCTTCTTGGCCTCAGCAACCTGTTGCTTGGTACCCTTGACACGAATGGCAACGCGGCCAGATGCATCCGGCGCATCGTTGGCATTAGGAACATCAATTTGGGCACCAGTATCAGCACGGAGCTTGTCCATCTCACGACCGCGCTGGCCAATCAAGGAAGCGACCTGGTTCTGGGCAACTGAGATGGTAGCAGAGTGACCGTGGTCAATGACCCACTGCAGCAAGCTGAGAATTTCGTCACGGGCAGAGTCAGCACCCTTACTAGGGCCCTTGACCAGGACCTCATCAGCAGCCTGTTGAGAACGGTTAGGGCGAGCACTAGCGCCAGCATCGCTGCCGGTCTCTGCGACGTCATCGTTGACAGTGGCGCGGGGGAACTGGACGCGGACGGAGTAGCGGTCCTGGAGACGGTTGACCTGGTTTCCGCGCTGACCGATCAGCTCGCGGTGGTACTGGGCGGGGATCTTGAGAATGTGGGTGGTCTCATCCTCTAGCTTCTTGCCCATGTTGATGATGCGCATGCGGGTGGCGTCGGCCTTGGCCTTGGGACCCTTGACCTCAACCTTGCCGTTCTCGACCTTGATGTCGACGTCAAACTCCTCGCGGAGCTTGTTGATGGTCTCACCGCGCTTGCCGATGAGGAAGTTGGCGTACTTCTGGGGGAAGTCGAAGCTGACGGTGTATCCGCGCTCCAGGTCGTCCTGCTCCTGCTCCACAACGAAGGCCTCCAGCTTCGCGATAAGCTCGTTTACCAAGGCCGATGGACCACGGAGGGAAATCTGGCACTGAGAGGCCTTGGGCTCGCCAACAATAGCACGGACGGGGATGCTGTCATCGCCCTTGGCCTCCTGCTCACGGATGATGAACTTACGGGCCTTCTCCTGGTACTTGGCGGGAATGGCGACCGATTTGGCAATGATGTCATTCTGATCACCAAGTGCGCTGAGAAGGAAGTTCTGAGCCTCTTGGAGACTCTTCTCGAACGCAGCAACCTCGGTAGGCGAGGGACGCTGCCTGGGGACCTCGAATTGGGAAGCAGAAGAAGTGGGGCCCTCATAGACCAACACGACCTCGGGGCTGTTGATGTCATCGGGGACCATAAGATGAACGCCATAGTCACTCTGGAGAGTGTTGGCACTGCGGTTACGGAGATACTGGTGGAAATACGGGTCGACAGGGACATGGCGGAGCTTGGAGGGAGGGAGAGCCTGGACGAGGTTCATGATGTCGGAACGGGCACGGATGGTGTTCTTGCCGTCGCGGGAGTAAACCTCCCAGGTAACGGGTCCATCAGCGCTGGGTGGGAGAGCGATGCGGGCATCGTAAGTCGACTCGAGCTCCTTGATAACCTGGCGGCGGCGGAGGTATTGAGAAAGAGCACGGGCGTGGGCAACGGGGCCAGCGGGGGCGGTAGGGTGCTGGCGGGACAGATCAATGCTGGCCATCTGCATGCTGGTGGCAAGATCCATAGCGTGGTTAATACCAGCCTCAATCTGGTCAGCAGGACCGGTAATAGTCAGGAACTCGCTCTCGTCCGAGCTGGGAGGGAGAACAATGGCGCATCCAGTCTGCGCAACGAACTGGTGCAGAGCATCCGCCTCGTTGCCCAAGATGAACTGGTGCTGGCCACGGTTGATGGCCAGCTGGCGGAGGGTAAGCTGCTGGCGCAACCTGGCGGCCAACTGCTCAATCTCGGCACGTGCCTCCTGTGCGGCAGCGCGTTCTCCAGAAATCAAAATATGCTTGTCGGGGCAAGGCACGAATTGGACCTGACCGGGGTGGGCTTCCTGGGGAGGAGGCTGGCTTGACCAAGTATCATAGCGGGGAACATTAATCTGCGCCTTTGTGCGCTCCTCAATTGCGCGCAGGTTGGCGTCGTGTGCGCCTGCAATGAAGGGGAAGAACTCGGGAGGGATGGTCTTCAAGCGGAAGCTCATGTTTGAGCCGCGCTCCTTCACAATGGCCTCGATCTCTCGGCGGGCCATCTCCGCAGCCACGGCATCACCCTCAATCAAGACGTCAATGGTGTCATCGTCATCATCCTCGGCACCGGCGGAGTTGTCGTCTGCGCGGGGGACTTGCACACGGGCACCAGTGCGGCCCTGGATATCCTGAACAACGGCACCTTGACGACCAATGATGTGGGGGCGGGCAGAGGTAGGGATAGGGACACGGACGGATTGCTAATAAAGGAAAAAGGATTAGAACAAATCATGTGGATGTCTCCAAGCACATACCTTAGATCCAACCTGTTGAGCCACCTCGCGGAGGGCCTGTCGTACTGCATCTACGGAGCCTTTTCCATCGAAGATGATAGAACCACCAGGGCCACCGCGCATGTCCACAGTAGCCTTAGATCTGCGAGAAATGTCACGGAGAATTTCAGGCAGAGGCTTCTTCAGCTGTCCGCGGGGGAGCATCTGAGACGGAGCGAGACGGAGCTGCTCCATGTGCTTTCCAGGAAGAGTCATGATACGGGGGATATCTATACCTATGTCAGAAATGCTGAATCAATCACATCCGGTGTCATTCACGTACCCATTGACTGAGCGGGCGAGCCATTTGCAACGGCAGCTGCGCCAGTCTTCTTAGCACCCCACGTAGCCGCAGCAGGAGCGGCAGGCTTGGGGCCACTACCGAGAGCCGGGAACAACTCCTCCGATTGTACATCGAATGTTGGCTTTTTAGGTGCGGGCTTGGTGGCGGGCTTGGGGGCAGGCGCTGAAGCAGTAGGCTCGGAGGCGGAGGGGGTAGGCTCAACCTTGGGCGCAGCGGGAAGGGGGTGCTTCAGGTCCTCCTCGTCGACCACATCCTCCACGGTGGGCTTGTGCGCCTCGTCGCGGGCGTGCTGCTGTTCCAGCATAGCGGCGAGAGATCCGCCGTTGGTAGAGGGGGCTTCGGCAGCCATGACGAAAGAAGTCAATTGCGTGGGGATGATCGGAGTATGAGACAGGGTTAAAAATTGGCCTATGCACAATAATTCTGCAATAGAGACTGGTCCGGGTCAGTATGCACTGGGGACAGGTCATGATCACTGGGGCGGAGCATGTGTCCAATGGCTGGAGGTGTTTGAAACTCACAGATGGAAAGTATAATTTCCTCTTCTGAATTGAAACAAATTGAAGGGTATAGGTTATATTATAGGTGAGTGCCGGTCGATTCAGGAGAATGCCCGCAAAGATGCAATGTGGAAAAGTGGCGATCTGGACCAAGAAGCGCCAAGAATTAAAGCAAAGAAAAAGCAGGCGTTCTGAGAGAAGAACCACCTGAGAGAAAGTGAGAGGGAGAGGTTGATGAAGAGGTGAGAGGTGAGAAGGGGGAGAGAGAGAGAGGCGAGGTGAGAGGTGAAAGGTGAAGGTCTCGAACCCCGGAAATACACAAAGTGACCGAAAAGGCCAGCTCGAGTCTCCGGGGGATTTCTCCGAGTCCGCTGAACATCTACCGTACATGTATATTTTTAATTCAGTATACATGTATTATGCTAGTTTGAACCTCATATGCATTTATAATGTCCAATGGCTAAGTTTCTAAATATCACAGGCTCCAACACATTCTGTTTGACTCTAGATGGTGGCTAATATAACAGAAAAAGAGAAGGAGAAAATACGAACAAATAAACAAGGCGTACTATACTTCACATAACTGACTGTTTCTATACTTGATCCTTTTTCTTCCTCTTTTTCCTTTTTTTCTTTTCTTTACTTTTTACCTTGATGAGCATGAGCACGTGGGAAGTGGCCATGGCATACCATGTGGCCATACAGAATGGGGCAATACCGTAGGATAATATCTGACGGAGTCTGTAGCATTGGTCCATGAGGTGGCCAGTGGCCAATAGCCCTGTCACCTCCTCCCGCCTGATAAGGAAATTTTGGTTTCTTTTTCTCCCCCAAAGCTTAACCTTCACGGCGAGGCAGATATGGATGCTTGGCAAGGAGAGTACCAATATCTTGGCAGATATAAAACTACTTTCTAGACAGAACAAGCTCAATGGCTGATACTACAGGCGTTATCCAGCTAACAAAAAGAAACGGAAAAAGACAAAAGAGAAAAATGTCCGATAAGGCCCACAGATAGGGGCGAATCCAGTAAATTTATACAGTGTTAACTTACCCACCCGTGTGTGGGGAGATATTCCCTCTATCTCGGACAATTCCGAGATTTCTCCTCTTCTCTCCTCTCTTCTTCTCCTCCCCCAAGGTCCCAAATATGGCCATGGACGCGGACATGGAGAAGAAGGGCGAGCCCGAGCTGAACATCTCTGCGGTGGAGCAAGACCCGGTTAAACCACGGGGATTCTTCGCCAAAGTGCGCTACTATGAGGAAATGCTGGACCGCAAGATGGGCATTGAGTCGCACAGTCTTGACCGCGTCCATCCTGAGAATCGACAGTCACCAAGTCCCGTCGTGATGGCGTTTATGTGGGCGTCTGCTACGATGAATATCAGTTGTTTCAGTACTGGTTTTTTGGGGCGGCAGTTTGGTCTTTCGCTTGGTCAAACCATTCCTATTGTGATATTTTCGACATTGTTGGGTGCTATGGTGACAGTGCGTGTTTCCTCCCTCTTTTTTGCATTTCTTGTATTTTTTATGCTTTTTTTTTGCTGAGGGCAAATTTTGACTGACACTCCCGCAATTAGGGCTGGTGCGCAACCATGGGGCCGGGGACGGGTCTCCGCCAGGTAGCAATCGCCAGATACTCATTCGGCTACTACCCATCATCGATAATCGCTCTGTTGAACGTGATCGAGCAGCTAGGCTGGGCATCAGTAAACTGCATCACAGGCGGCCTAGCCCTGAGCGCGGTCTCAGACGGCCATGTCTCCATCGCCGTAGGCGTGGTAATCATCGCCTGCGTGAGTCTGCTCTTCAGTTTCATCGGACTACGTGGTGTCCTGTTGTACGAGAAGTACGCCTGGATCCTATTCTTCGTTATCTTCATTATCATATACGGGGAGGCAGCCCACCGCGCCGATCTGTCCCCACCGTCGACGGCCGTGACGGGCTTGACTCGCTCTGGAAATGTGCTCAGCTTGATCAGTGTTATGTATGGATCTAGTGCGTCGTGGAGTTCGATTGTTTCGGACTTTTACGTGCATTATCCTGTCGACACACCTAAGACTAAGATCTTTTTGTATACCACTCTTGGTATTACCATTCCTACTTGCATTGGCATGTTGCTTGGTGCTTGTATCAGTTCGGCGTTGGATACGAATCCTGAGTGGAGTGCTGCGTATGATGGCGGTATTGGTGAGATCTTGAGGGAGATTATCTACCCGGATGGATTTGCCAAGTTCCTTCTGGTTTTGCTGGTTCTTTCTGGAAGTATGTATCATCCCATCCCATCCCATCCCCGTATAGGGTTCTCACAAACAAACACTAACACTAACAACCCCAGTCGGTGTTAACGTAATCGCAATCTACTCCGGTGCCCTCTCAGCCCAACTATTCGCAACCCCCTGCGCAAAGGTGCCCAGAGTGATCTGGTCATTCCTCGTCTTCGCCTGCGTCCTGGTGCTGGGCATAGCAGGCCGGAACCAACTACTAGCCGTGCTAGAAAACTTCCTCTCCCTGCTCGGCTACTGGAATACCTCCTTCTTCGCCATTCTGTTCATTGAGCATTACTATTTCCGCAAAGGAAATCTGGCCAACTATGATCTCGATGCGTGGAATACGCCGGCCCGCATGCCAATCGGGTATGCAGGTCTTGCGGCATTCCTTTGTGGTGCTGCCGGCTGGATTGTGGGCATGGTGGAGACGTACTATGTTGGTGCGCTTGCTACTATGATTGGGGATTCGGGTGGTGACATTGCTAATGAGTTGGCGTTGGTTTTTACCTCTGTTTCTTACTTGCCGTTGAGAATGTTGGAGCTGAAGTATGTGGGACGGTGAGATTGGTTCTTTGTGGAATTGTTGGGATTTGTGGTGGAATGTATGTCGGGTCTGGATCTGGGGCTATGTGTTATCCGTGAGGGCCTAGCCTTGGGGTGGTTATGAATTAGATAAATTAGTTCGCAGGCACATTTAATAGCAATGTATAGTTATCAAAGGATTATAATTCACTGTTCATTGACCCCATAAGGGCAAGTATTATATGATTAATGCATTCAGTCGATCACAGCCAAAATCAAACCAGCTGTATCGACAGCGCCAAGACGGCATGGGTATCGGACAAACGAGTACAATACTCTCACAAAAAGTATAAAACCCAACCATTGACAAGAGAAGAAGAAGAAAGAAAGAGTCATGTATGTAAGGCCTCGCGGGCCTGCCACGAGAATTATGTGCATTAAGCAGCCTTAACGTAAGGCCAGCCGTCCTTCCAGCCGAGGGCGTTCCAGGCGTACATGTAGTTAGAGTTGTCGGAGACAGTGGTGCTCTGCTTCTTGGCGAGAGGGTAGTAGTGGTAGTACATGACGAGACCGAGGTCCTTGTCATTGACCACGCCGGGGCCACCAGGTCCGAAGACCTGGCCGTGGCTGGAGAGGAGCATTGTGCCGCCAGTCTTGGTGCAGGGAGTGCCGTCGGCGTCAACCTGAGAGTATATATGTTAGCACAGCCACAACAACAAATTCTATATATGGGATCAATGTAGAGTGAACATACAAAGTCACCGAGACCAGTCTGGGAGCGGCAAACACGGATGTGGTACTCAGCGCCCTCGGCAGGGAAATCCTTGGTGTACTTGCCGGCAATACCAGCAGAGTAGAGCAAGTAGTAGAAGTCGCCGTGCTTGAACTCGAAGGAGCCCTCCTCGCGGTGGTTGAGAGTTGAGTTCCATGAAATCTGATAGGGAGTAGCAGAGCCGATTTTGAGAGGTGTCTCCATCTCAACCTGGAAGATATCGCCCCAGAAGGAGCCGAAATTCATGTAGTTCTTGCCACCGATACTGATCCAGGCTGGGTCGATGCGGTTGTAGTTGCTGTTGGCGGGCAGGCCGACGACGCCGTGGTCCGTCCAGGAACCAGGCTCCATGGTCTTGGAGGTTGCTACGCCGATTTGTGAGTTCTGAGTGCCAATCTTGGAGAGCACGTAGTACATGTAGTACTGGTCGTTCTGGTAGTGTACATCAGGAGCCTGGATTCTTTGTTAGTTGTGTTCTTCATGTTGTGCTACCAACAATAAAGGTTGTGTTGGTTTATTATATTGTTGTTGCATTCTTACCCAGATGTCCTTACTGTCGACGCCATCGATGTGGATGTTTGATCCGTCTGGCAGGGCTGAGCCTGCATCTGTCCATGGTCCCTTGACTGACGGTGATGTATGGATTTTGACACCAGTGCCTGTTGCGAAACGGAAGTACTTTCCATCTGATACTCGCTGGATCATAGAAGGATCATGAGTCCAGCAGTCGCCAGTGCAGGGGCCCCGGTTAGGGTATGCACTGACTAGGGCAGAGGTAAAGAGGAAGAGAAGGCCGAGCATTATGGCAGCTAGTGAGGGGGGAGAGGGGAGAAAGGTTGTCGAAATAAAGCTGCTGGATAAAGAAAAGAAATAAGACGAGAAAGCAGGTTCAATTTATGTTGATTCGGACAATGCTCGGCTCCTGGCAGCTTCCTTTCATCCCCACGCCAGGTGCGCCAGGTGTTGGGCCTGGTGTATGACCTTTCCACACGGGAGAAATCCTCATCCAATCATTGTATGGCGACCCCTGTCCATCGGCTATGGTCATGTAAGGCGCATGTCAGTATTGAGTCGGGTCTAACTACACTCGGGGGGCCGAAAGGGATGGCTCAAAGCCGATAGCAACAGGGGAGTGTTGCTGCGTCCTTCTGTGGATCCTTAACTAGATAGGTAAAGAAACAACAATCGTCGACAAAGGGAGAGGATAGGGAGTTTGCTATCCCTGATGTGATGTCTCGCATCTTCGGCCAAGAGCTACATATTGGATCGGTTGCATATCCCCCACATATGTCCATGACCATCTCACACGATCGAGGCACAGTATTTCTCGGCAACAGGGGTGATACGACAGTTGTCCTGCAAGTGTGTGTTGGTCCCACATTCAGCTTCAGCAAGGGCGGGCTTGTTCCCCTTTCACACTAGCGAATTCTACGTACAAAGTGTAACCTTTCAGTCCTATTTTAATCTCTACCCAGTAAGCAATGAGCCTTGAAATGAAATTATCTCTGTATGTACTCATCATATTTGCGGGTACGTCTTGCGTGGCTTCATTGACTCTTAGCTTGTTTGCGCCTTGTGGTCCGAGCAAAGATCTGCCCCATGTGGACCGCGGAGGCCAATCATCCGTTGAAGTGCCTTGAGATCGGACCCCAAATCTAATATTTGCGATCAAGTCGTTAAGGTCACGCGAAGTTATCATCTACTTGTAGATCCCGAAATATCCTCAAATGCAGTCGCCATCTTGGAAGAGGATCACCTCAGGTGAAGTATACATGTACCCAGACCCTAAACATATTACCCAAAGCCTCCAGCCCAACCTATGTCATCGACACTAAAGCGACGAATCAGACAAGGCAGACTTTTGAGCCTCCGTGGACCCCGCTTCTTCGTAAAGTTTGTAAATAGTCTATCAAGTAAGATTCCTGGTTATTACGTTCGATAATATGATTCAGCTAGGCTGAGTCTTGGTTCGTGGCGATTGGATCGCAGTATTCTCTTCGCCACACCGCTATATTTAAAGGCTCGGTAGGGGTCCGTATAAGCTGCCAAGTCTGGGGGTGGCTATGGAATAATCTACGACATAGTCTTGGCTAGCCGATAGTCGAGATGCGAGGTGCAGAAATCCAGATTCGACGCTTGGTATATTAAATGGGGCTAGGCGGATTGCATCAGATGAAGTCGATGTTGCACCACAGGCGCCTTAACCGGGTTCCGAGAACATCCGTATGAATGATGATTCTGAGGGGCAGTTATGGAGACGATATTGTTGGGAATTTCTTTCTGGGTTTTATTGTGCTTGGACTTACTCGGTTTGTTTGAAATTTGGAGTTAGGAGTGGAAGTGCAACGTTGACCAGGTATATATAATCAACACATATGGTATCCATAAGACTCTGCGAAAATACGTTTATAAACCAAATCATGATTCTACATACTTGTTTTAGAACTAGAATACACATTCCAATGTCTCGACAGGCACTTTCGTGGAGTTGTGGAACCCTAAATGTATCGGACCAACACATACACATTAGAGCTGACGTTAGGATAGTCCATTTACATACTCAAACATACCGGCTGGGGATATTTTGGCCTCGGCTCTAGTTCCTAGTCCGAATAACCTAAGATGATCCAGATTCTGATCACCATCGGTGGATTTGAGTAACTTAACTAACTTAACTTATGAAGATCATAAACTTTGCCTGAAAATTCAGGCGTTAACCCACTCCCACCCACCGTACCGGTCTAGTACAGATAGCATTTGTCCTTAAGTCGGTCATTTTGATAGGGTTCGCTCCGTGTACCATATCACCTTTGCCTAACGGGTTCGTCCCTGATCTTGATCTCGAATATTGCTATTTTGGTTTAGTGTTATCCAGAGTATCTCATCAATGTGGCATAACTTATCTGCTAGCCGAAAGAAAACTTTTCTCTTAACAGATGCATATCTCCGGATAATCATGTCTAGTAATTTCTACACAGAGGCTTGAACTCGGTAGTACTCTGCTTTTGCCTGCCACCCCAAGTGTAAGAACCAGCACGCTCCTTTGCTTTCCAAGCCCACCGATCACGGGCAACGAGTCCAGTTGATGAGGAATATAATTGCTCGCAAGTATAGTGCCATCTTACAATCTACCTCCTGTCAACTTCCTAGATAGACCTAATGGGGAAGTCTCAAACCACCTTCCAAACTAAGCTGTTCCATGACACCCAAATCAAGAATGAACCATCTCTTCACCTGCTCCAGAGAATCGAAACCAGCTGGGATATGGATATTGCCGTGGTAATCACATTCTAGGATTGTTGAACAGAACGCCTCTCCGATTGTGGTATGGTGTCGTTGGGGACTGCCTGGTATATCGGTTACGCTGGAGTATATGATTACCCTTGCCGGGCTGTGAATTGTGGCCATAGGATCTGATTTTGAATTGCCTGGATTTGTTGATCGAGTATTGCGACGCTGATGTTAAGCATGGGCTCCTCTTCTGATTACAGGTCAGCCACTTGATACATTGTCTGCAGCAACTTTCGGACTGATGGAATTATATCCATCTGTATCAGGATATTCATGCTCCAACAAGCATATAATGCCCACTGTGTCGAACTCAGAACGTTGATGTTCTTGTATGAGTAAGTATTAGCTATCATAAGGCCGGTTTGCATATAATTCATGTGGGAGGAATGCGCAGCCTTCTTTTCTTTACATAACAAAATACACCAAAAAGATGAGTGCGAGGCAACGTAATAACCCGATATTCACGCTTTAAAAAGGGTACCCTGAATCTTACTGTTCAGCTGCGCCGAGTAAAGCTTGTTCTCGTTGAGAATGAACATGCGTCCGTTACGACCAAACGAAAAGTTAGAAGTGCCATTCTTGACAAGAATCTTGCCGAGGAGAACACCCCCGGGCGACCACACGTTGACACCATCGCCACATCCGGCATACACATTGCCCTCAGTGTCGACCTTGATACCATCAGGAATACCAACACCGGCCATAGCAAAGACACGGCGGTTAGTCAAGAATGGCTGGCCGTGAGAGGTAGTCACATCAAAGGCATAGCTGGATAGATTAGCACCGACCCAAGCCCTCAATAACCAAGATGAAACTTACATAGTAGCAGGCAAGGTATTATCCTTGGACCCATCACCAATAGTCTCCGCTGTATCAGTGATATAAAGAACCTTCTGATCAGGCGAGAAACTAATCCCATTAGGCCGACCAAAGCCATCAGCAACAACACGCACATCCCTCGTAACAGGATCAAATCGATAAACCTGATTCGGCAACTGCGGCTTAGGCCGAATCCCCTGAACAGATCCATAAATAGGATCCGTAAACCATATAGAACCATCATCATGCACGACAACATCATTCACCGAATTAAACTGGCGTCCGTAAAAGGTGGCCAGAACCAACTCTGTCTTGTATGGCGGCGTAACAGACATCTGGACCAGACCGCCGGTATCATTCAAACCACCTTGGGCATCCCAGAGGATGCCGTTGTTGTAGTTGACGCCGCCGTTTGGCATGGGCACAGTGGTGTTGACGATCTCGGCGGTGAGCGGGTGCTTGCTCAGGCTGACCTTTGAAACCTTGATTGTTTTCTCGTTTGTTATTGGGTCTGTGAAGATGTTGCTGGACATGAAGAGCTCGTCTGTGGTTGGGATGTAGACGCTTGCTTCGTGGGCAAAGGGGTAATCATTGTTTTCCACGAGGAGGTCTAGTTTAGGGGTTGGGCCGAGTATGTTTAGGAAGCTGGTGTTGTATACGGCGAATGCTGAGGGAATTGTGTTGTTGGCCTGGCTGGCCAAGGGGGCAATATGGGTTGCCATTGTTGGACTGTGAGATTTTGTATAACTAGAAAGTGAGCTTTAGGGGGTAAGTGGGCTTTTAAAGAAGCTTCAGATGATGTCAGTTCTGCTAAACTCTACTCTTCACTATGGTGTGGAGTATGCCGGATGCGATCTGTTGCCCCACGGGAAATTCGCCGAGGTTTTGCCTGGAGATGTCTTTGGTTTCGACTTGAGGTTATCCAGAATTGTCTCCTTGCAGGATTCTCGGATCTCGGGCCACCGCCCTACATTACCTGAAGATTCGGGCATTCCCGATCTTCGGCCTACCCCACGAAGGGATGATGGATGTGCAGATGCTAGAGTGAAAATAAAGGTAAATAAACCTCTAGGCCCAGACTCAGAGAGCTAGATCATGTTAGGATAGGATTACCTTTGAGATAGGGGGTTGATGTCGATCTTCTACCAAAAGAGACAGCCGAAATTGTCTTCAAGGCCCAGAGTCGTCCACAGTACAGTAGCTGTGAAATTGAAGAATGCCTTGTACAAGGCTTGCAAGTCTGCCTGGGCATTCACAGCTATACGCCCTGGGGCTATCAGTGCTATGCAGATATATCAAGTCTCCAGACTATGGCATTGAGCGCGTGGAACCCAAGAGCAGTTGGCCGCGCTTGGTTAGATGTTAAGACATAGGTGAGCCAACAGTTCGAGTATGTCTAATCGCGACCAATACCCGAATATAGCAAGTCAGCCAGTGGCGATAGACCCTTAAAGATCCAGTGGCGCCTCATTCTCACCGTTGAGATGATGTCCTGCTATCAGATAAAGCGCTAAACGTATATAAAAGATGCCATAAGAATTGGACCAAGTGAAGTGTGAGTTTCTGATGTCCGAGGTGAACACGACAGACTCTAATCTAAGACGGTGAGTACTCTCGATAGCCGCAGATGGCAAATGTGGCGCAGGAAGAATTTCCTCAACAGTCGGGTACAGTGGCCAGAAATAAGAAAGGAAATGAGGGATCTGTGCATACATGTAGGGCGTTTTAAGGACCTGCGTTGGCTTCCGTCACACCGTTTAACCATTTTAGGAGTTTGTCAGGGGAGATGTGAGGCGTTTGTTAGAGTAGATATAGTAGAATAGGAACATCTGGGGTGTAGAGACGTGTCTCACTATGAGAGACAGGATAAAGTGAGACTAGTAGCTTATACTTTGATATCGGAGCATTTAACTGATCTATTCTTAGAGAAAGGTTGCAAGTTACAAATTAACTAACTTAGTTATATCGATAAGTTATTCCCTGCCGTTTACCTGTCAACCCAGCCACTCCCCTTTTCCTGTCTCCACGTGCTTTAACTTCTCCCCTTCTCCTCAATTCCAGACCTCCAGATTTCCATATCGTCCCTTCCAACCTTCCATTCCTCACTCCTGGGGACTCGGTTATTCTTCATCTCGTGGTTGGTCGAGTGAAAAAAAACTGCGTCTTGACCCCTCCTCGGCCTAATTTCAATCTGTCTCGTGTAGAGACAGGAAATCTACCCACCATGAATCAGGACAATTTCCCATTGAAATTCCGCCGAGCGTCTAGCAAACTTCACAAGGACCCCCTAGCTTCAGTTCGCGCATTCTTCGCAGTCATCAAAGCGCTACATCGCTCAAACGCACCCCCTCCGCCCCCGTCTACCCCCGTTCCTCCCCCAGCGGCAGTCGCGAGCATAATCGGTCGCGATCCAACGCACAATTCGGCTCCTCATCGTCATCGCTGGAACAGAATAGCGGCGGGCCGTCGCCGTCCAACGACGAGTCCAGCGGCTTTTTCTCCAACTTCACCTCCCGGTCCCGCACTCGCAGCTCTAACCGCTTCTCCTACAACGAGCAGAGCTCGGATGAACTAGGCGCCCCTTACGAAACGCGGGGCATGCTTAGTGCATTGGATGAGAATAGCGCTGAATCGGACCCTCATTCCCAGCAAGCCCCCGGACCCCGATCTCAACACCAGAGCCCTGATAACCGTGGACGCCACTCACTTCGCCAGTCAGCCAGTTTCACCACGCTTACACAACGAATGGATCCTTTTGCTCATCGCGAGACTGAGCGGGCGGCGAATGCCAAACGGTATTCCGACGATGGCAATGCGCCTCCAGCCCCGCGAACAAGACAGAGCAAGAAGGCGAGCTTCTCTAGGTTCGTGGACAGTATGCTTGGCTCCCCCGGTCGCAACATGAAAATTTCAGCCCCAGAGAATCCAGTCCATGTTACCCACGTTGGTTACGATAATCAAACTGGTCAATTTACTGGTCTTCCTAAAGAATGGCAGCGACTACTTCAGGAGAATGGTATCTCCAAGAAGGAGCAGGAGGAGCACCCGCAAACCATGATGGACATCATGCGCTTCTACGAGAAGAACACCCGTGGCGATAGCGACGATGAAGTCTGGCATAAATTCGACAATGCGCAAGCGACGAGTCCAAGAGGACAGTCACCACCGGGCAGCCCACGATTCCCGCAAAACCACGAAAGCAGTTTCGAGAATCCGCGGGCGCCACCACCGATTCCACGCGGGCCTCCGGCTGGCACACCGAGCATGTCCCCATCGCTGGGTGGTATGGTGCCTCATCGCGCTCCTCCTAAGCCTCCAGGCATGACCCCGTCCCGTCCTCCTCCTCAACCCCCAGTTTCGAATTCCTACGGTGCCCCGCAACGACCCCAGCTGGACACCTACGGTTCTTCATTTGGCACTCCGACGATCCCAGAAACCGAGGCATTGCCTTCACCTCATCGCAGTCCCTCTACCTCCCGAAATGGCACGCCTGCGTCCAGCGCCCCGAATGTCATCGCATCCCCCACACAATACCAGCGACAGCAGGAGCAGGTTATGGCCGCAGCCCAGCAGGCACTGGATCGCAATCGCAGCCAACGCCAACAGGCACAGCAGCCCCCAGCCATCTCCACATCAACCACCGCCCCGGCACCCGATCTGTCGTCTGGAGTGTCGCCTTCTACGCGCGCTCCACCCGCTGCTCGGCCCCGACAGCGCCAGCGTCAAAGCACTGCCATGGATATCCGGTCGCGTTTGATGTCTATCTGTCGCGAAGGCGATCCCACAACAATCTATTACAACCTCAACAAGATTGGTCAAGGTGCTTCGGGTGGTGTGTTCACCGCGTATGAAATTCCTAACAACAATTGTGTTGCTATTAAGCAGATGAACTTGGACTTGCAACCCAAGAAGGACCTGATCATCAACGAAATTCTCGTTATGAAGGACAGCAAACACAAGAACATTGTGAACTTCCTCGAGAGCTACCTGCACGGGTTGGATCTCTGGGTTGTTATGGAGTACATGGAAGGTGGCAGTCTCACAGATGTGGTCACTTTCAATATTATGAGTGAAGCACAAATCGCAGCAGTTTGTCGAGAGGTAAGTTTACGAGTGACGTTGGAAGTGAGTAGATGCTAACTGTTATTGTTAGACTTTGAGCGGTCTCCAGCACTTGCATTCTAAGGGTGTTATTCACCGAGACATCAAGTCCGACAACATTCTGCTCTCCTTGGATGGTAACATCAAGCTGAGTAAGTTATCCGCCTTCTTTCATTGATTGTGGTGCTAACATTGCCTAGCTGACTTCGGCTTCTGTGCCCAAATCAACGAGTCGCATAACAAGCGGAACACCATGGTCGGTACCCCGTACTGGATGGCTCCCGAGGTCGTTACTCGCAAGGAGTACGGCCGCAAAGTCGACATCTGGAGTTTAGGCATCATGGCCATTGAGATGATTGAGGGCGAGCCACCATACTTGACCGAGTCGCCGTTGCGCGCGCTGTATCTTATTGCCACGAACGGAACACCCACCATCAAAGACGAACACAACCTTACCCCGATCTTCCGCGAGTTCCTTCATTTAGCTCTGAAGGTTGACCCCGAGAAGCGGGCGTCGGCACACGACCTCCTGAAGGTATTATCCACTTCCCATACCATTTTTATACACCCCACTAACGCTTTCCAGCACCCATTCATGTCCTTCTGTGCACCCCTTTCGCACCTCGCCCCCTTGGTCAAGGCTGCTCGCGCCAGCCGGGCCCAAGAAAAAGCTCAAAAAGGAGGCTCCTGAATGACCACGTTTTCTTATGTTTCGGTTTTCTAATTTCCGTCTTACTTGATCTCCTTGACGCCTCGCTCAGATACCCCGTCACCTCCAATGTTTCTTCTAGATCCCGACGTGCACTGCCATACGTCGTGGGATTCCTATACTGTGTACCCAATTTATTTCTTCATCTATCTTATTCCCCACCACATCGTCCTTGATGAAAATGATTCCATTTATGAGCATGTTTGCAATATTTTCTGCTTCTTATATCTGTTTACATCTGTGTCCATTTAGGGTTCTGTAGTTCTATCTTCCTTTTGTCAGTTGGATGCAAGCGGCTAGTGAGATACAAATTCTACTGCCTGTTCTTTTGTTTACTATGAGAATCTGAATTCGACTGTCACCGGCTCGCCGGGTTGTGAAGCATTAGAGAATAGGTGGCATAGGGCAGTACTGGGGATTAATATCTCGTTTCTCGAATTACCTCGGAAGCAACGTAGCTAGTCCTGCAAATGTTGGGATGGTATCTCATGCTCAGGCTACTGCTTTCTTCTGTCTGTCATTTGTTTATCTGACTGGGGCTGGACATACACCCACTTCCATGAGCTAAAAATGGATAGGGGCGGAGAATGAAAGTAAAAGGAGTAGCTTATGCCCTAACAACACCTAGGCAGAAGTGGACTTTCAAGAGAAGCTTCAATTAATGATACGAATACGACACACTATCGACTGTGCTCTTAGGTACCTTTTGGCTCGATAATTCTGAACTATTTCATATCCACTCATAATGTAAGCAAAAGAAATATAAGCAAATATAACACTATAAATGAAGTGTAACAAGTGGCAAACAAAAACAAGCAGACTTAGGCTGCTGTTTTTGTGACCATCGTCATCGTGCTGACTCAGGTGATAGTTCTCTCCGTACACAACCTGGAATACCCCAACACAGCCTCTCATTCCCCCGAAGCCCTACCAAAATCGTCTCCTAGATTCGACAACTCACCAGTCGCTTCCTGCTAATCGCCAAGGGTCTACATCTACACACCCCTCACATCCACACCACCCATAACCCCCAACCCGCGCCGTTCCTCGTCGTTTGTGGACTCCCCGCATTCGCTGCACAACCACCACTCCGAGTGAACCACACCGCGTACCTGGTTCTCAAATCTGGACGAGAAGCTTGGCTAGAGCTTGATATTGATACCTTGCGATCTTTGATCGATATCGAATATTACAAACAGCCAGTTGCGATCGACTTGCCATACACCGAATCTAATCTCGCTACCCGACTTCCCCGATTCTTTTCCCTTACCCCGTACTCCGCCGTTGTAGACCTTCGTTGGAGGAATCATAGCTGCAATGTTTCGCGCGCAACAGAATGCATTTGACGATGCTGTCGGTAAGCTTTATCATGCTTTCTGGGGTCTGCTAGAGGGCAGATGCTGTGCTCGGGCGCACTGGCCTTGTCCTCGTTACCTGGTTACGTTACTGACCTGGTGATCTTTTTACAGCCAAGGCGACGGATGAAAACCTGACATCTGAGAATTGGGAATATATTCTGGTGCGTTGGATTTGAGCTATTGGTTTTCTGAGATGCTGGCCCGGGACATGGAAACTGATTTTCTGGGTGGTATAGGATGTCTGTGATAAAGTTGGCTCTGAAGAATCGGGGTATGTGGATTTCGTTGCGCAAGTTCAAGGGTATTTTTGCTGACTTTTGCTCAGTGCGAAAGAGGCTGTTGCTGCTATGATTAAGAGACTTGCTCATCGGAATGCCAATGTGCAGCTCTATACATTGGAGGTTTGTGATCTCTAACTTGTGCCATTGGGCATGTTGGATTGTGGTTTCCGTGTTTACTGACTGTCGTTGTAGCTCGGCAATTCGTTGGCGCAAAACTGTGGACTTAAGATCCATCGCGAGCTAGCGTCCAGAAGCTTTACTGATGCGCTACTGCGTCTGGCGAATGATCGGGTAAGCGGTCCTTATTTCGTTATATCCCAGCACCTTTGTTTTGACACATATTTCTAGAACACGCATCAACAAGTCAAGTCGAAGATCCTGGAGCGCATGGAGGAATGGACAAAGATGTTCGCGTCCAACCCCGACTTCGGTATCATGGAGCAGGCTTATATGAAGTTGAAAACTACGAGTATGTACCAGTCCTCGTGGCAATTTGACGATTGAGCTCAACTAATCATATCTTAGACCCGAACTTGCAGCCGCCATCGAAGCCAGGCAAGCGTGAGATTACTGATGTCGACCGTCAGATGGAGGAGGAAGAACTTCAAATGGCACTTGCTCTCTCCATTAAAGACAAGCCCTCAGGTGCCCCTGCTGGTGCTCCCGCTACCCGAGCCGAGTCTTCAGCTGCGGCTACCTCGGCCTCGGTACCAGCACCTGCACTGGCCCAAGCCAATCAAGCGGGGCCTGCTGAAGCCCAGCCAGTTCTATCAGGCACGTCAGTAGCTACTGTGTCGCGCGTGAGAGCCCTGTTCGACTTCCAACCTTCTGAGCCCGGGGAACTTCAATTCCGGAAAGGCGACATTATTGCAGTCCTCGAGTCAGTTTACAAGGACTGGTGGAAGGGATCTTTGAGAGGCCAGACCGGAATTTTTCCTCTCAACTACGTGGAAAAGCTGCCCGACCCGACTGTGGACGAGCTGCAGCGAGAGGCTCAGATGGAGGCAGATGTCTTTGGTCAAATTAAGAGTGTTGAAAAGCTCCTTACATTGCTGAGCACCCGCAACACAGACCTTAATGTCTCGGAAAATGAGGAGATCAGCAATCTCTACGAGGCTACTCTTAAGATCCGTCCAAAGCTTATCGAGTTGATTGGCAAGTATTCGCAGAAGAAAGGTAAGTACTACTCCTACAATCGCCGAGGATTTCGCTCATAAAATATGCAGATGAATTCACTCAGCTCAATGAAAAGTTTATCAAAGCTCGTCGTGATTATGAGTCCCTGTTGGAGGCATCGATGGCTCATCCCGCACAGCCGCAATATGGCCGGCCTCTCCAACCCCAGTACGCATACGCAGGTGCTGCGGCTGCTGGTTACGCAGGCCCTCCTCAAACCGAAGCGCGATACTTCAGCCCCAGACCCCAAGGTACGTACAATCTCGAGCCCGCAGACTATACTAGCTCCTGACTTTGATTTCAAGACACGACACCAGTCCAGGCGACTGCACCATACTACGGCGGCGAGCAGACAATGCCATACCGCCCAGCATCCCACTCCCCTGACCCCCGCAACCAGGTTCCAGCTATGGCACCACCAGTGCAGCAGCAGGCACTTCAATCCGACCCCTACGCACCTGTCCAGCACCGTCCCCAGTCTACATATGACCACCCCCAAGAACTAGGAACATCCGTCTATGATTCCCCCGTTGACCATGCTGTTCCTGCTCAGCGCCTGCCTTATCCCCCAGGATCCCAAGCCCAAGCCCATCCTGCTGGTCACCAGCAATTCCAGCAGCAACAGCAACAACAAGACTACTCGCCATCGGTCTACTCCACCGATGACACACCTCAGATCCCTCCAGTGTCCACCATGCCCCAACAAATCCCCCACCAATTCCAACAACCCCCATACCCCAACTCCCCCGCCGCCCACCAACCCCCACCCTCGCATCAGCCTCCCCCAGTCCCTGGCACAACATCACAGCCGACACAGTACACATCATACAGTCCGGCGCCTCCAGCTCCCGCAGGCACGGGCGAGTACCAGGCCTACCAGCCCCCACAGGGCGGGGCAGCTGGGTCTAACCCGGCTTCGTTTTATCGGTGATTAATCTGTCCTCCTAACCGTTATCTTTCGGTCCAGAGGGATCAATTCCTTGGCTGCGTTTAATGTTGGCTTGGTCTCTGGCGCTTACACGGACTGTTTTCTTTTCTCTCTTCCTTTCCTCACCTGTTGCTGGCTGTCTGTGTCTACTGTGTATCTAGTCAAATACTGGTCTGAATTGTATGTCCGTACATATGTGTGTGTTAGTCTCGGTAGTAAGTTGGTGGCAGTATAGCACTGTTGTGATGCCTATGCGAGGCATAGGCATATATGGCTAGGTGGTCATCTCCATTGTCTACTTTTTCAGATACACAGCATAGGCTAGGAACTGAAGAAGTCTCAATACTTACTTGGGCGCCAAAATAAGCTCAAATTGGATGACAGAGGCAAGTTAAGGTCATAAACAATGCACAAGGCTGACCAATGAGAACCATCTGTTGGGGCCACCGGCGGAGCCTCAACCCATCAACTTTGCGGGGACCTTCATCTCATCTTCACGCCATGGCTCTAGAGTCCCTCTCTCCAGAGATCCTGTTAATCACTCTCGAATACATATCCTCCCCACTCGATCTCATCGCCGCTGTACATGCCTCACCCAGTTTATACCGAACCTTCATCGCCTACAAACAACATCTCCAGGGGAATACCCTGACTCGAGCAATACATCCAACATGCCGAGCAGACGCCTATTCAGCGTTGGACGTCCAAAGGATCCCACAGCAGATTAAATCCGGGACGAAAATTGGAAAACTCAAAGCCGAATGTTTCTCTATCTTCGCCACCGACCGGAAACGCCGCTCCCAGAAACATGATGAGTTCAAAGCAGACAATGACAAGCTGGAAACGTTGTTCAATTTCCAGGCTAGTGTCGAGCGCCTCATAGATACTTTCTGCCATTGGTCACTGGGCAATCTATTCTCAGCAGACCAAGACCACTCCCCATTACCTCCACCAGCGACCATCCCAAGAGCCAGATTGTCACATACAGAACGAGCCCGTCTGCAGCGCGCATTTTATCGCTGTGAGGTCTATGCCAGATTCCATCGAGTCCTTCAACTCCAGGATAAAAGTTCCGCGATGAATTTTATTCCGATTCTCATGAGCTACGGTTCTCAATTCCAACTGCACGAGTTCGAAGAAATGATCTGTGTCAGACAATTCTTAGCAAAATGTGTGGAATCACTCTGTGAACGGGTAGAGGATGATTTCCTTGCTTTCTATACTGGAAAGGGTCTATTCGACGCAGGCGTCGGAAAGAAACCCGCTCAGGAACTTGATATCCCGACTGAAAATTATGACACTGGCAAAGCTTTCAAAGACTGCGGACTGTCGCTCTTGACAAGAGATTACCGTAACGCACCCTATCACGATAACCACGTCAAATACCTCGTATCTTGCGGCCCGGCTTATATCCTCTCCTTGAACGAACTACCACCGCGAGAGCTCAAGCACGTCCTCCTCAAATCAGAACGTCACTCGCATGACTTGGATATAAATGATTACTTTGTTACGGAGGGTATGATAAATGATAGATTGGATGAGAGATCCGAAATGACCCTTTATCGCGGCAAAGTGGTTTCCATTGACCGCGATGAAGTTGATAAGCACAACCTGGGATGGAAATGGGGGACTAGTTTTGCCACTGGTGTCAAGCCAGATTCTCCGTCTAATGTTCTCCTTCGGAATATGGGTTATGTCTTTTGGGACGTGAGACGTTTGGTGGATTCCGGGCTTGTGGCTGAGCCTTACGTTGTTGCTATTGGGACTGATTGTTTTCCGGCTGGGTATAAGAGGCCTTTTTCTAGGGGTAGTGTTGAGGAACAGCTTTTTCAACGGAAGGTTGACCTGGAAGTTTTGCGGCAATGGAAGGACGAGTAGGTGTGTATTTTGGAGCAGAAATGACGAGCGCAAGGACTCGATGAATTGATAAATGATGATGCATTCACTGTGCCTACTGTTCTCGGGCAATCTCCAAGTACTGCATGGACAACAGGAGATGTCTTGGTCTGTAACTTCTCCATGTCAGCACTTGATGGTATCTATGAAAACATGATCCTAGATGCCAGAGGTGACCTACGTCGCACGAATGCAGAAAAGAAAGGACATTTGATCTTGATACCTAATTAAGCAGTGAGGCGTCCAAACGGGAATCCACTGTAGCTACAAAATGGATTTATTTGCCGACCACTCAACAAAATCCTAGAAACCCAACGATATGTATGTATAGAGATCCCTCTCCCGAAATAGCTTCAAACCTGGTCTTGATTTTGTGCAAATATAGACTATGGCCTAGGTTTCTGCTTTCGTTGTGATTCTATGATACGCTCCGAGATTGGACGTGTTCCACAATTGTAGCAGCGTCACTTCCGAACAAAATACTAATCACTATATGCTATGCACCTTTTAATAGGAACATTTGATTGAAGAAAATGTGTGTTTGTATTGGTCTCTTTTAAAGTGCAATTATCACTTTTGTCGACGCCGGGATAGTAATTTGTTCAACCATGGTATCTCTCTGAAATAACCACAAAACTCCGAACACGAACCGCAAGCTCAGCTGACAGACTGGGGCTGATGAATCTAAACTCAACAATTCACGAGCTGGTCATGACATAGCACTGACTTCATGTCACAGTGGGAATCACAATATCCCATTCCTATAGGTACTTTAGCTAGTCATCTTCATGGTCATCTCTCTATCTCCCCAATTAAGAAAAATACTTTCACAGTCCTTCACAATTCAGATTGAGCAATCAAAGTAAATCACCTTTTTACCAAAGAGGAGTTGAAGCTTCCTTACATTGATCTCAATATTGTGTTTAGTTCATTGTCGTCTTAATCTTGAATTCCACCAAAAAGAAACATACAAGGGCAGTAGGGGCTCCGTCGAGTTCCTGAATATCCGACGGAGAGCAGATAGCTTGAGCCTCTTCCCTAACAAAGGCTACGTCTCCTACAATTAATCTGCGAATCTCCTTGCAATTGCAGTTCGCTCACCGATCTGCTCCGAAAGCCAGAAAGTCTTTGCCTTATATTTCTTTGTTTATAAAAAAAGCATGTTAACCCTTTTCGTATTAGAACATGCTAACAATAGAAAAAAGGGAATCCATCACTGGGGGAGAAAATGTTAGCAGAGTATACAACTGGGAATGGTGTTTTTACATATCGCCACAGCTACGATTCGGTCAGCTGGAGATATCTCCTCGAAGATGTTACAAACATCGCCAACAACTACTTAGTCAACGAACATGTGCGAGAGCCCAACATTGCTACCATTCTAGCGGGTCGCGACTTTCACAAGTATCGCGACACGGGGACTTGCTATCAGATGTGGCCTACCAAATTCGAGGTTCACTCTTATGTTCCTGGCTTTGTCATTCACGGCAATGGCGTCTTTCACTACAACTTTGTGCAAACAGAATTTCGGATGTTTTGGACTACAAAGAAGTGGGAGGTCATCGGCGCGCCGAACGAAGTAGTACCTGCCTTCGATCATATTCCATCTTCAACGGAAATGGTTGAATTATTCATCCAAGGAATTCACGCGGCTGGTCTTTCTCCGCTCGTTAGATTTCTAGCGCACGGGCTTGGCGATACAGAGAATAGGAAACTAACAGTGGAAGATTATATGGCCGACTATGTAGGAACCCTACGCCCTGACTCGAAATACTCTTAGGGAGAGAAAGATAAAGAAGGGATATGCAGGATTAATCGTGTATTTTAGCATGCCTTGGTATAGGTTTTTCCCTACTTGATAGGTTTCCCTATACACTTCGTGCCAATGCAGAGGCGCTATAGTTCAATGCTTCCTGTTCCTGTCTTGATAAGATCAAAATAATTTCAGAAACAGGCCTCGATATGCGGCGATATCTCATCGCGGACACAAGCGTTGTATTAAACCTCGACCGATTCTCGGTGGAAAGTGACACCGAAGAGTATCTGGGCTAGAGAATATTCCGATTTGCTGTGCTTTCTTTGCCAAAGCACAGCACAAAGAATGCAAAATTCAGACCAATGGTCCAAGATACAACAACCTTACTACACTTCATCCATTATACACAATATCGACCACATGGGGATGATTTATATGCTATTGTTTCCACCACTGAAAAATCCCCTTATATCTCCATGACTCCTTGAGTTCGAGCCTCGAACATTTGTCAGATTCTTCGATCTCGAGCCTCGTACGTTTCATCGAGACTCTTGTTGCTCGAGACATACGTTTCAGACATTCAATATCCCGATCTCTATTCTCGTCCCAATCCTATCCCCGTTCTGCTGCATCAGGGATCGCAGTAGGGTCTGCATAGCTTTGAGTGTAGACTCATCCGACGGTCTCCTGGGTTTTGGGTCACCTTGCAGTTTCTTTTCCTCAAATTCCCCTTGTAGAACCTCGTTTTAGCCCGTTTTATATTTCCAGATCGGGAAAAGGGTACATAAGAGGATAGGCTTCTTGCCGTTCCATCTCATTATGTAGCCCTTGATGTAGAGGCATTATGAAAGGAATAGAGAAAATGGGAGAATTGGTGAATCCTCGGGCCAGATTAAATATTATAAAATCAATGCAGATGTGGTTCGTATTTGACGTAGTATGGAGGTTGTGTTATATGGAGACATAACTTTGGGACGGGGTTCAAGTCTGTGTAGGCGATTCCGTTATAACCAGATAGCCACCGCTACTCGAGCTTGTGCCAGAAATCCTCGATGAGTCGGGCAACTTCTGGCACTTTTTGCCTCACAACACCATGTCCCACCTGCGGAACAACAGAAACATTCCGCATGCCAACATCATGCAAATCCTGGACACTACACACGTCATCCAACTCTCCTAAGATACATAGACCTTCAATGCCCTTTGTTGCCGCTTCGGCAAATTCAGTATGTTTATCCAAACACCCACCATCTCTGAAAATACCAACTACACTTGCCACATGGCCTTGGTGCTGCTTCATCTGCCAGTCTCGGACTGCTTCTGCAACCACTTCGCCCCGACCAAATCTCTCCCTCCAATCAGAAGGAACAACCAGTTGTCCTCCTTCGAGGAATTCCAAAATCCACGAGCGCGCCTCGTTCTCTAATCCCTGACCACCACGCAAATAGCTCCTCTGCAATTCGTCAAATTGCGTTGAGCGCAGTAGACCCGCGGGCGCGACCAGCACCATAGAAGCGACGCGGTGGGGGTATGCAGCCGCGAAGGTAGCTGTGGTGGAGCCACCAAACGAGTAACCAACAAAATGCGCAGTTTCCCACCCAAGATCCACCATCACAGCCTCGAGTAATGAATGAAAGAGTGTCGGTTCGTGCGCTGCAATCGGCGTTTCAGTGAGCCCGTGGCCCCACAGGTCAACCAGTACACATTGCGCATACGGGAAACGCGAAGATAGCGCACTTGCTAATGGTAGCAAACCGATTGCGGGTGTTTGAACGCCGTGCACAAACAGTATGCGGGAGCTTGTCGTTTTAAGGTCTGTTGGTGTAGGAGACAAGGGTGATAGCTTGTAATATGCGACTTTGCCGTTTGGAGTCTGCAGATACCATGCCGGTGGTAGCAGGTTACCAAACGTTGCGCCGTAGTCGGCTTCAGATGGTGCTTGAATTGGTGGCTCGTTGGACTTGACTGTCCCTGGTCGAGGTAGCACGAGTGAATTGTTTGCCATGTTTATAGACAGATGTGTGGTGTTTATATCACTTGGAGAGGTGATGGAGGGAGGGGTAAGCATAGGCAGCTACAAGATCTCAAATTCGAGAATTACCGATACAATACTGTAACAGAGTCCGCATTCTGGGGCCGAGTGTCCAAATACGGCTTAAGGCGGTTTAGTATACGAGACAGGAAACACGTGAGTAATTTAACTATCAGCTGTATAGATATTCGATATGGACAGACATGGTCAACAAGTCAAGAGGCGGGTTTTGTATTTGCAAAGCTAGTTGCAGACAAGATTGTGGGGTTAGAGTTCCCCATAACGTGAATAGATGACTTCGAAAAGCTACTCTCCTAAGTGGCCATGTTGAACACGCTTTTTTTTTCCTGCTTCGAATAGCAGTGGCTACTAACAAGCTCGGTATGAATTAGCCCGGCTTCAAGTGGTTTAGAAACTCTATGTAAACAGCGTTGCATTCGATATTCGGAAGATCCCGTCGTGTCCGTGCCAAAGCGACCTTAAATACCCATCATGGCACTATCTGTAAGAAAAAGGGTATGAAACTCAATATGATTACTTCGTTTATAGCAAAAACATGCACTACGTTGCTCGCTCTTGTGGCTGGCTGCCGTGCTGGGGTTGTCTATAGAGATGTCTATGGGGAGAGAACCTGGCACAAGTATGTCCGCTCGCCCAGCACTTCGATAGTGAAACCAAAGAGCATTTTGGCGGCGAATATTACCGGCAACGTGTCCAATCCCAATGGTTTCTTGGAAGGCAATGATGCTCCAACAATCTTGAGTCGCAAGCCAGACGACCTCCACGTCCCTTCCATCGTTGTTGATTTCGGTCAGAATGTGGTCGGAATAGTATCGATTGATTTTGCTCAGTCAACAAATTCATCTCAAGGGCTCCCAGGATTGAAACTGGCTTTTTCGGAAACCCAGCAGTTTCTGACAAACACGAGTGATTTTACCAGGTCGGATAATCTGCCAGAGGTATGTCATTTGCAATCATTCATTTGTCATATCAGGCAATGCTAAAGCCAACTAGGGCCAGAAAATAACCAAGGGCACTGATCAGGTACGTGAAACAGGCTTATTCGCCTCCTCTAAGCAGATGCTAAAGCAATATAGGTTGCCGTCCCCAACGATCCATCTACTTGGAAGAACAAGGCTGGCTGTCAATATGGCAACAAAGTATGCTCAGATGGTCTTCATGGTTTCCGGTACATGAAGATCTGGCTCGATGCCCTTGAAAGCGACGCCCCATACACACAGCCTTATGGCTCGGTTTCCATATCCAACATCGAACTCGACTGGTCTGCCTATCTGGGAACTCCTGATACATTCACCGGATGGTTCGAGTGCTCCGACGAAGATCTTACGCAGTGGTGGTTTGACGGTGTCTACACTACCGACATGTCCAGTGATACTTTCCTTGCCAATGAGACTGATCCTCGAGATTCTGCTACTCCGACGCTGGAGGGCACACAAGTTATTTTTGACGGTGCGAAGCGGGATAGGGATCCCTACGTTGGAGACCTGGCTGTCGCTTCGCTTACCTCTTATCTCTCGCACGATGCGCCTGAGATGACTCGTAATATTCTTGTTGATTTGGCGAACCACCAGCGTGCAGATGGATGGATACCTCCTGCGAGCATGTAAGTTGGTACTATATGAGAGGTATGCTTCCACTGACACCACGTCTAGAAATAACTATACCCTTCCCTTGTACGATTACCCTATGTGGTGGGTCGTCGCCACATATGATTTTGTCATGTACACTGGGGACACAGACTTTGTTGCCCAGTACTATGATGTGATGAAGAAAACATTGGATTCATACTACGGTCAAAACTTGACCTCCACGCATGGTCTGCTCAACAAGACAAATGGCTACGGTGACTATGCCTTCTTGCCCCGTTCAGGTGTCATTACATACTACAACGCGCTCTACGTACACGCCCTAAAGTCAGCTGCTCAGCTTGCCAACATTCTCGGCCACGACGCTGACAGCAACGCCTGGACCACACGTGCCTCTGAAATTGGTACCAAGATGCTTGCTAGAAACTGGGATTATGCTGTGGGTGCATTTTTCGATGGCGGGCCATGTCCCGATAAGTCTGGAGACACGATTTGCAATGTACATGCCCAAGATGGGAATGGCTTGGCTGTTCTATCTGGGGCAGTCAATACCTCTGTTGCTACGAGCCTACTCGACTTTTATGGAAACACGGCGGCACGAACTTATGGAAATGCATTTTACGACAACGATTCCATTCAAGCCGGGTTCTCACAGCGTGTCTACGCTTTTATTTCATACTTCGAGCTAGCCGCACGCTTCGCTACCCTTGGAGCATCAAACTCAGCATTTGACGAGATCAAGCGGCTTTACGGCTGGATGTCGACGCACGACCCCGAGATTACGTTCTGGGAAGGCATTGGTCCAGACGGAGCACCCTATGAAGATGGCTTTACTTCTATGGCCCATGGCTGGTCCACTGGGATCGTACCACTGATGAGCAACTATGTACTCGGTATCAAGCCCACTGCACCTGGGTTCAAGACCTGGCAGGTTTGTCCTGTAATCGATGGTGGCAACCTCACTTGGGCTCGTGGTGCGGTAGGCACACCCTCGGGCCCGATCAAAGTACGATGGGAGAAGGGTACGGATGGATCTTTTGCCTTGCAAATTGATACACCGAAAAATACGAATGGGGTGATCTGTGTGCCAACTGGTGGATCTAAGGGTCGCGTTGTTATGGATGGGATGGAAGTCGATGGCAACGCAGATGTCGATATTATTGGCCCTATTGCGACAGCTGGAGAGGGATTCAGGATGGTGAGAGCCAGTGGCGGCGTACACATGGCGACTGTGAATGTTGGAAAATAAGAGCATCCACATTTAGTTCCCAGCAACCCCCGGTTCTTGGCCTTGATTTTATAAAGATAGCTTTGCCCGCTACTTTTAATGAGTGCTGTTCGACCTACTAGTCAATTTCATTCACCTCGATAACTTTAATATAGAATCAATAATCGCTAGCTAGATCTAGCCTCCAGAGGCCATGCAGGCGGGTCTCCGGTAATATCCCCAGGACACACGGCATTTATGCACTGCCAAAAGCAAACTGCCTGCCCGTTAGCCCAGACCCATAGTAGATGTACTTTTCAGAGTTTGTCATGATTGCTGGTGTATTCTTCGGAATGACCGACTTTCAACAGCACACCAGCAAGTGTCTGTAAGGACTGGACCCGAACTTCTCAAGCTCATCAACGTAGCCGGCCTGTGAGGCAAGGCCGTATTGAACACGACCACGGGTAACTATCACGGCAACATCTTCCTTCTCCGTTCTTCCTTGGCCTAATACTGCTACTTGCTTGATCTCCTGGAAAGAGAAATGCCGAATGCCCAACGAGATGAGGTCGATTTCTCGCGGCTCAGATCTATGATTAAACTCATTCCCAGATTGCACCTAGAAGTCTCCAGTCGACATCAATAGCCTCAGTCACAATATAATCAGAACACGCTGCCTCGAGCCTAGGAGACTCTTTGGTCACGTTGATCATATGAAACAGGGGAGCACTAGAAAATGTAGCAAAAGCTGCCGAAAACGACTTTCATACTTGTTTGGATTCAGATGTTCCAGTCCGGTAGTGACAGGAGTGCGAGCGAATGCAACGGCACCGAGAGCATAAGCCAAAACAGGCCAGAATAAGTCGTCAGTCCCTTTTGACGGTATTGCTCTGAGCCAAATATTCGCAAAGCGACTCCAGGCTTTTGGTGCGCGGCCAGTCAGGCCTCAAGCATATTGGGGTACTTGCCAGTTTCTTCCCAAGAAGAATATTTTAATCCATAAAATAAAAATTAATTATAAAATAAATGTTATCTATCCACAAAGCTTGTGGGCCAAAACAAAAAGACAAAAAAGATATGTGCATCATCCGTGAATCGAACACGGGCCTCGTCGATGGCAACGACGAATTCTACCACTAGACCAATGATGCTGGAACATCAAACTGCTGGGATTGCTGATTGGCTGTTGATATTCGATTGTCCCAGCTTGTTATTATTACCTTAGTTCTGCCTAAACAGAATAAGTCGTGCCCTAACCACGATAGGAACAGTCTTGAATTGAATACCTGCGATGCATCATCTACATCTAAAATCATGACAAATACTGCCTTTATGCATGATGTTGCTATCATTTATCAAGACATATTTTCGCCCAGAGAGACAGATGATACATTGAATACATCGAAAACGCCAAACAACGGCGGTATTGTACTAAATATATCTCTGTCCCACACGAGATATTTAAATGAATGATCGGGCCCTCCCCTTGCAGAAGCTATTAATAGGCTTTAAGCCGAGGATATGTCTCTCTATTGAGGTGTCTCACATCTTCTCAGAATTGCCATCTCAATAGTCATTCCTGGGCCAAACGAAGTCGCAACAATGTGCTCCTTCTTACCCAATGTACGAAGTCGATCCAGAACAATCAAAACAGTTGCACTGGACGAGTTTCCTCGCGTGCGGTAAATTTCGCGACTTGCTTGCAGTTGATCATCTCTTAATTGTAGAACCTGTTGAGCCCCTTTGATAATAGTTTGTCCGCCGGGATGCAAAGCCCAGTCAAAATCACCAGATCCTAACGATATTTGCAAACCTTCGCCTCCAGCTCCTGGTCCAGGACTAATTTTCTCCTTGTAGGGTAGGAGAAGGCTCTCAAACATTGGTTTTATAGCATTCTTTGCGTAGATAGAAACGTCGCGAGAGAGAACAGTTCGATAACCTATATGCGTATTGATCCAGATATTAGTACAAATGATTGATCTAAAAGCATTTCCAGATATGGACGAATAAACAGCAAACACACCATCTATATCCGCATAGAAAGACAAGTTCTCAATCGTATCAGGAATAAAACTCGTCCCCCACTCAACCAGCTCAAACACAGGGGTGACATTCTCGTCCTTTGCCATCGCATACTCATTACAAAGAATAAATGCAGCGGCAGCATCCGAAAATAAAGCCCCGGCTATTCAAACCTGATCCGGATCTGCACATTTCTCTGCATATGCCAGCTCATTCCGGAAGTTAGGCGTACAAAGCTCACAGGCAAAGGCAAGAATCCGAGCCGACTTTCTCCGTAGACTGGCCCCGCTGGCTATTTGTGCGGCAGCGCGCATGATAGAGAGCCCGCCTGCACATCCGACGCCATGTAGAAGCATGCGATCGACCTGGGGTGACAAGCCGAGCTGTCGAACTACAAGTAGATCATATCCCGGGCTGCCATGGTTGGTACAGGTGACCCCAACGGTATGAGTGATCTGCTCGGGGGTGATGTGAGCTTCTTGGAGAGCCTTCTGACATGCCTGAACCGCGAGGTCGACCCCTGCTTGTCGAAAGAACTGATCAAGATCCCGGACTGAAGGTCGCTCTTCTTGAGTAGCAAACCCATCTTCGTAAGAATGAATTGCTGATCGAGTTTCAATGCCTGTTGAACGGTTTATTTGAAGCAGCTTTTTAACTCTAGGTACATTGGGTTAGACTTCGTTTGTTGAGCAAGCGAAGTAAGAATAACTACCCTGGACTGCTGACATCGCTAAAGCGTTCCGCAAATTCATCAAGTTTTTCTGGCGTCAGAATATAATGAGGGTATTGTGATCCAAGTCCAGTGATATAAAGGGCTGAGATGGGTGCCATGATGTGTGCTGACCCGAAGCGGGGGTAGATGACTGGCGACGAGGAAAATGCAAGAAGTAGTCTTCGTCTATACGCATATGACCTTGCGAAAAAAGAGTCAGAGTGCCTGGGCGCATCCTGTGAGTCGGCAAGTTCGAAGTAGCGAAGACCATTCAACAAGAAACACTAAGCTAGAGAAACGAAGAGAAAGAGAATAGGAGGAACGCTAGGAAGCCAGTATATCTACACCTCCGTCGTCCAATCATCTCGGACCCCTGTTCTCACCGCTCTCCCTATTAGGACATCTGCCATCCTCTAGCAACCATATATCACATTACCGCCCTATAAGACATCGTCTAGTCCCTAGACGGCAGCAGCTTTATCGTTATCTTTATGATCATCGAGATAGTCGTCTTGTAATGCAGCTTTTGTCTAATAAGAGAGACGCATCGGTGGTCCCAGTCGGTTAGGGGTAGGTGTCATTGAAATCGATCAGCTTCTACGGCGCATTTTTAACATTACTAGTAGGCTACTAGGCCAAATCTTCGTCGTATCCGATCCAATTAACCTAATATCAGAGCTTCCTATAATATAGTCGTGAAGCTAGGATCTCTCTAACTTCCTATTCTTAATATCTTCTAGTGACGGCGGGTCTTCGATTTAACCGGTCAATAGTGCTAACTTGCTAGCTAGCTGTAGCTTGCTCGGGTCGAAATATACTTCCGCATAACCCAACCCAGTGTCTCTAAAAGTATACACCAATCTCTCACATTCATGCATTGATCTCTCGCAACCACAGAGGATCGACAATATATTGGTATCGACACGAGACATGGGAACAGGTAAGTTGCCACCTGTGGCGTATCCCAAGTATCTCCCTATCTGGGACAATGAGTCGGGCCGGTCTGTTACCGCAAGTCCTTTCTGGACTACAACATTTAACAAATTTTGAGCACGTATCCTCCTTTGGAGCCATTCGAGCACTACGACCATGGCAGGAATGCCAATCCAAGTCTCCCGGACTTGCTCCCTCGGAACTAGGTGACAGTGGACGATATCAACCCATTTGTCGGCTCTGAAGTGGACGGCATACAGTTGGGTAAGCTGTCGGACGCTGGAAAGATCCAGCTAGCCTTATACGTGGTTCAAGACGTGTTGTCGGTAAGACGGCCGTAGCCCTTATGGGCCACGGGGCATTTTTAAGCTCATGAGTGCTTGTACGACCACATTACCATGTCACAAGATGTGCAGGCCCGCATCCACTGGAAACCCCGTACCGTGGTTGTGTGGGATGTGAGTATGAGAACAAATAAATGTTCACACGCATCAGGCTAATTTCTTTGAAACCGCTTAACATGTCATTCTGCCGAGTTTGACCGTGAAGATGGCTAGAGAAGGCATATTGCTCGCCTTACGCCGCAGGCCGAGATGTCCTATGAGACTCCATTTGAAGGCTAGGAAGCACCTATCAACTTGCCGTTGTTTAAGAATGGCATTTGAGAAATATTGGTCTATCAATAACTATAAAGTAAAAGTCAACAGTTTCCTAACAAGAGAAGCAAAAAATCTCCCAATATGTAAAATTACAGTAACTTTTGCTATACTATCTGTTATTTTTCTTCGTAAATTATGCTGCATCACTCCGTAGTTGAAATGGATACTTGGGCACTTAGTATCTAAAGCGGAGTGTCTAGAGCGAGGCGTTGAACGTAGAGACGTTGGTGGGAACCATCACGTATTTCGAAAAAGCTGCGTCGAGGAATAGCAGGCTATTCTTCCCTTTAGCAGCTTGAGTTCCACTTTCATATAGAAGGACCGGCTATTCCTATGCCTTAGCGAAAATCGCGCACCTGTACGCGGGGCATATCAAACGATCTGAGGGGTCCCGGATATTTTGGCGCCTAGCACTGTCTTGATAACAATTAACGTAGACCTGGCAATCCTCGATACTGGCTACCTTTGCCAGAGGCTTTTCAATCAGGATGAGATCTGCATTGTATGACGAGTTTTCCAGCAATTCAATAATGTAAGAGTTCCTCAGTTTGCCCAATCAGGTAATATATGTGGTCGAAACTTGCTTATTCATGCAGATGATACGAAGACTAGGAAAAGAAAAAGTCTGGAGCACCCTGACACCCGAACTGAGCCCAACTAAACCCTAACTAGATGTTTTCCAGTTTCCCAATTAAGTTTATTAGCCGATCCAGCCAGTCATTCAATCGCAACGGCCCCACTTTGATACTAGCCGCGTATCTGTGGCGGCATCGCGAATGGCGGTATCTAGTCCGCCGACCCCGCGCACTAGCTTTGTCTATATAGCTTGCCTACAAAACCGTTAGTTAATTGTCGAAGAGGCCTCGCACTGCCAGATATCACATACCCTGATCCAAAGCTTTCCCAGTTAGGTCATAAATCTTTCTTTAAAAAGAAAGGTAAGCGTCAATACTCCTCTTCAGATTGCTCTTGATCTGACACCTTCGTTAAACTAGCGTTACTGTAAAGATCATTCTACAAAAATGGCTTCACGTTCATCAGAAGGCACTGAGAGATATATCCACCCCGGAGAAACGTCTCGTCATGCTGCGACCATTCTTGGATTTCCATCCAAATTCTCGATCGCCCCAGCTTATTATGAAAGCGCATGTACGGACATTGCTCACTTAGCCTCTGTTATTTCTGCCTTTGAACCAGTTCGATTGTATACACGAGCAGAAGATGTTCTGAAAGCAACGTCGATGGTCCGCCAAGCTGTTACACAATATCCGAGCAACACCTCAAACATATGTATCATTCCCTTCCCCACAAACCATCTTTGGGTTCGTGATACAGGTCCTCTTTATGTCTTGGGAACCGCCGAAAACGATCGCCAACGCCGCTTTGCCGTCAACTTTCGCTTCAATGAATGGGGCAAAAAAGACGATATTAATGATCACAGCCGAGCTTCCGACGGGCTTGATTGGCCGGTGATGTTGCAAGAACAGCTCCAAGAAAACGCAAATTTTGCCAAGAAAGTCATTGAGTCCGACGTATCTCCATCTGGTGTGATTGAAGTGGAATCAAATCTTCACCTAGAAGGTGGGGCATTGGTTGTGGATGGCGATGGCACACTTCTGGCCACGGAAAGCAGCATCATCAATGAAAATCGCAATCCAGGTCTGTCACGGACCATGATCGAATCAGAGCTGCGTCGTCTGCTTGGGGTGAATAAGATCATCTGGTTTCCCGGCAGAAGAGATCTTGACGTTACTGACGTACATATTGACGCTGAAGTCAATTTTATACGACCCGGAGTCGTTGTTCTCTCACGGCCTCATTCTAGCGTACCTAAAGTATGGCTAGAGGTTCATGAAGAAATCAAGAGAATTCTGGGCGAATCAGTTGATGCAGGGGGTCGCCGTTTTGAGGTACATATAGTCGATGAGCCTGATCCTAAAACCCTCGGTCAGATGTCGTATAACGAGCCAGCAACCAATTATGTCAATTTTTATTTCGTCAATGGGGGGCTGATTGTTCCTCAGTTTGGAGACGAAGGAAAAGATCGAGAAGCACTGGATTTGTTTCGAAGGCTGTGTCCTGACCGCGTGGTTCACCCAGTGCATGTAGTTGGACTTCCATTGGCTGGGGGCGTGATTCATTGCGCGACGCAGCCAGTGCTTTCCATTGACCAGAAGTAAGGAAGACTAAATACCTGTCATGAAATGTGCAAAGATTCTTTTTTTATCTCCCTTTGCAACTCAATTAGCGTATAAATGTTTCTAAAGAACACGTAGGTGTAAGCTTGCACAAACGCGAAAGGCTGAGAGGGGACGAAGGAACTCAGTTGTATCACGTAACCAATATACGAATATTCGCAGCGAACAAAAAATAGATTCGCTTCCTTTTGTCTGTATTCGCATTCGAATTATGGATGTTGTTTTTCGTACTGACCCATACAGGTGACTGTCCTCATTGTTCGGCCATCGTGATAAGATATGATGACAGAGGGTTTCGAGGTTTTCAAAATTTTAGTTGATTTTGTCAAGATACGTCGATTTTCAATTCAAAATATCAATGAGAAAGGGCGTCTTGAGCTAGCGGGGCACACCAGGCTATAGAGGCACAGAAGAATCGAGGCGAAATGTAGATACATTTATCTCCCATAGCGAGAAACCTGCGATAAATCCCGCATGAGGCTTTGGGTGGATCCCATCCATTAAGGACGCGACGAATCGGAACTCCAATCACCACGCTGACTCACTGAGAACGAAAATTAACCATGTGGCTGCGCAAGAATGGTCTGAGTAATGACACACCCTGATGTCCATGAGAATGTCATTATTGCCAAATCTAACATCTATTAGAGGGAACGATGCCACCATCGAGAGAAGACGGGACGGTTGCACTGAGTGCCGGAGAAAGAAAGTCAAGGTAAACCACGACTGGACAAAATGATACTTTGAAAATACTGTACTAACTTATTATAGTGCGACCTACGACGACCAGTATGTTTACGCTGCAAGCGCTATCCCAGAGGATGCTCTTACAGTCCGAACTTTATCTCACAAGTCCTTGAGCGGCCAAACCCTCGACAGCGAGAGGAAAAGAAGTCCATCAGCCGTGAAACATCATGGAATCTGAGGCAGCCAAGTATGGCCTTGGTCCCATCACTGCAGCAACCTACACTGAACCATTCTCCATTCTTGTTTACTGAGGAATCTAAATTTCTGATGCACATCTACGCCACGCAGACGGTCAATACACTATTTCCTGCAGCACCTGATCTCTTCCCGCAAAGATTGATTGGCTCCGCTCTAAATACACCTCATCTTCTTAATGCTATTCTTGCTTCTGCGTGCAGCCATCAAAGTCGGTTGCTGAAGGACGCGAGCTCAAGACACAGGGTGACTTGTTTAAAATATACGAACTCGGCTATCTGCAGCCTTCGTGAAGAACTCTCAGGCACCAAACAGAAACCTAGTGCCGAGTCGGTTACGACTGCATTGATCTTGAGTACAAATAATCTTTGTAATGGGAATATACCGATCTGGCGAACCCATCTCCGGGGAGCTTTGGGGCTTCTGCTTGCCTTGCTAGAACAGCAAAAATTGTTGTCTACTCCGATCGATCCATTCATTGAGTGCTTGGCTAAATGGTTTAAGACAATGGATGTTCTTGCAGCTTTGTCAGGCCTTGATGTGCAATGTATTCACAAACCCGAGGATGTTTTGTTGGATACATCTCTGTCGCATTCCACGGAAAATGTGGATGATATTTGCGGGTTTTCGTTGGATTTGTTCCAATTAATGACACAAGTATCTCGGTGGGCACACAGGCAGTATTTTTATTCGAGTACTGGACTTGTACCGAGCGATCCGTCAGTATCGGAGTTAGAACTCGAGACGAAGCTCTATGCTTTGCTTGAAAGGTCCATCCCAAGTACGAGGGTTACCAACAGCCAGATTTCTGTTCTTGAACTTCAAACCACACATCGAGCTTTCACTCACGCTGCTTTACTACACCTCCATCGCCGTGTACAGATGCTACCAAAAAGCCACGTCCAAGTCAGAACAGATTTGAACAACATCCTCGATGCCGTATCCCAGATCCATCCCTTCTCACTGGCAAACATCCTAATCCTTTGGCCGATGTTCAGTGCTGGATGCGAGACTGACATCATTACAGAGCGGGGAATGGTCCAAACACGTATGGGAAATATGCAGAGCCTTGGAATGGGTAACTTCGCTAGAACCCGACAGTTACTCCGCAGATTCTGGTCGTCGGAAACTTTGCTGCCGTGGGATGCATATTTTGCACAGGCTGGACTTGAGCTTGTTCTCTTCTAGCTATTTGTTATTTCACCGAAGGGCTTAGGACATGATATTTTATGGGTGACGTTAGAAGGACCCCCATTCCTTGGTATTCGAACCCCTCTCCACCTGCCTAATCCTGATTAGGGAAGGCATTGTATTTGTTTCGCCAATGTCGCCGGTAGGTACAAAGTGCCTTAGAAATTCGAGTTAGCGGAGAGGTATCCCCCTCCTTCTTCCGAGGCGCTCTGAAGTGCGTTCCTGACAACGATGTATATTCTAACTGGCCTGTACCTGGGATGGAGCTCACTCAAGCTCAAGACTTCCCCATGGAGACTGTTTACATCAAGCATCCATGTCCGAAAATGTAAGAGGTCCTCAGAGAGCACGAAAATTAAGCCAGATGCCTGAGCGCTTGCTACCACAGGCTGAAATACTTGAGTTGCTAGCTCGAGCACCACACCTGAACATTGTCCGTTATTATGGCTGTCGGGTTGCTCGGGCTTCTGATGGATAGGAATTCACATACATCAAGAAAGGGAGCTGAAATGTCGATCAAAACGCTTTTAAGATCGCCCTGGAGCTATCTATACATCGCATCCATCCGTTGGGACTCGCACACAGTGACTTGACTCCAAGCAAAAATCTGGTCAATGAAAGACATATTCCCGTTCTGCGGTTTCAGTGTATGTCAACCTTTCGAAACCCCGTTGAAATACATTCGGGGCACACCTGGCTGGATTTGTAATGGGCGTTATTCTTCCTCCAATTTACCTCACTCTGTGTATCTAGGTCACTGAAATGCCTTTTCGTAAGCTTCTTCGGAGAAAATACAGCGAGGCAATTTTGATTACTTGGACAACTAGCACGTGCTGGGGGGTACAGGTCTTTTCTTTAATTTTAAAGGAAGAGCAAAAGCGAGCTCTTAAAAGGACAAAACAACTTGAATGCAATATTCTCATGTCAAAGCGCGCAAATGGTATAATGTTCGGGATAACAATGTCTTTTAGCGGAACTGAGAATTGCCAATTGTGTTACGAAAGAGTTGAAATTACAGGTGGTCTCCCCCATAGACCTATTAGTCGTGAAAACAAAAACATAGTAAGCTACATTGAGGTCTACAGAATATTGTGAGACTAATTCTCAAGAAATAAACCGATTCACGTCGGGCATTTGCCCCGACACTTTCGGCGGTCATCCGACAGACAATCGGGAAATCGGAGAACTTTACGCGGGGAAAACAGTGATCTTCCAGTTCCCTCATTGATAAGCCTGCCTATCCTCTCTTTTATTGCGAGAATATACCGGACTGTGTACGAAAATGGAACCCCGTCAGATACACATCGCTGTCCTCGATACAGATATTCCGTGTCATCGTGTCTACGCCCAACGAGGATTGTACAGCTCGCAGTTCAGATCGCTTCTTGCTGCTGCTGCAAAGCGTATCAATAACAGTCAATACAAGCCACAAGCAGGCTCGGTCAGTGCTCATGTCACTGCTTTTGATGTCGTTGGCGACTCACTGCCACCTTTCGGGGGCTTGCGAGTCAATCCCTGGTCTCTCACGGAGAAACAGTCTTCTGGGTTCCCCGGGCCTATCGACGCGATCCTGGTCACTGGCGCTGCAGCTGCGGTATATGATGATCTGCCTTGGATTCCAGGTTTGAAGAGTTTCCTACAAAAAGTGCATTCTGGCTACCCGTTGGTCAAAATATTCGGGTCGTGTTTCGGCCATCAGCTTATAGGCGAAGCCCTGCTCGCAAGTGACAAGGTCTATACTTCCAAAGGACGTTCTTTCAAGGTGTCCGTTGGATTGTCCCCGCATGGTCACGAAATTGGCATTCATCCTATCGCCCTGAACCCGGCGTTTATCTCCAGCTTTCCGCCTCTAGCGCGGTTTTCGCAACAACCATTTCGCATGCAACTCATTCATGGCGATGCAGTAATATCTTCGCCAGATTCTCCTGGTGGTAGGGAGGCACTTCTGCCCGAATCGTGGCTCAATATGGGGAGCAGCCTTAAATGCCCGATACAAGGCCTGTACCAGCCGGGGCGCGTTCTCACCTTCCAAGGGCATTTTGAATTCGACGGGTTTGCTACAGCTGAGCTCTGCTGCAAATTTGCTGACCAGTTCCACTGGTCTCCAGCAGTTCTGGCTTCTCATCTGGAAAATATCAAGCGCTCCGCTGTGCCGGGAAAAGAAGACGACGATGATTCTAAAGCAGCCGCAGAGGCTGTGCTTTTGTTTTTCGCCGGAGAGGACCAGTCGGTAGACTCGGATCTTCATCCGTCTTCTTGATGTGTGTTGATCTCGCTGTCAGATGTCCACGGGATTTGTTGTTTGCATCCAGAAGGGACTGCGGGAGACCTCGGATGTCAAAGCCGAAGTCCCCGCACCGTCGGAGGAACACCCGAGCGTTATCAACTCTACGAAGCCTTGTTTCCGTGTATTAGAATTGTGAAACTCAAGTCAATGGGATAAAATTGATCGCAAAGAACATGGTCAGCTCAAATCCTCGATCTACTAATGCGTATGTTGGAGATGCGTTGCCTTATTACCGATTCTGGAACGTGTATGATAACAACTTTGCAGATGTGAGACGTGCCGGAGGCGCAAGGTTAAGTGCTCAGGCGACAAGCCATGTCGTGCCTGCGTCAAACATAACTGGGAATGTACTTTCGGTCATTCCGGGCGCAGTCGTTTTTCTGAGGCGTGAGTCAGTTGCGTATACAGTATTTGGTCTCTCCGGCTAACCTTCATCTAGCCAAGTGAAGCATCTCTTGGATAAAATCCGAGCCTATGAGGAGCAGCTTTCATCTCAGTCCATTGGAGACTCACCTTCTTCGCTTCCTTCTCCCAATGAAGGAGAGGTGACAACTGGTCGTCAGTCTTTGCAAGGCGTTTCTCCAACGCCCGCTGATAATGCGCCCAACAACTTGGCAGAAGGGGATTTATCATACGCCGATGATGATTCTGCTATAAGCCCAGGTACTGTAATATCTCTATATTACCGGCCCTCAACGGAAGCTAACATCTCACGAAGCAACGGACCTAGCTTCCGGGCCTGCGTTCGAATCTCAAGTCAGATCTCTTCTTGATAAATCCCGTTCAAGTGAAGTCACATTTCGGGGAGCTCATTCATCCCCTCATGTACCAAGTACCCCGGGGTCTCAATGGCCATCAATCAAAGAGCTTGTCAGCGATGCCCCTGAATTGTCTATCCCGTCATTGGAAGAGTCGCAGCACCTACTTGATCAATTTCTTTTCTATCTTGGCGTCAGTCAGCACTTCTTTGACCCACGGTCTTTCTCGGATAACCTGGGACTACTCTTTCAATCCCCAGAAACAAAGCATCAACAGATGAACACGACTTGGTTCGCCGAATATCTTTTGGTTATGGCCATGGCAAAACTTATGGATGTGAAACATCCCACTTCCCAGACACCTGGTGCGGAACTCTTTGCGGAAGCATTGAAGCTTCTTCCTCCGTTACATCAGATGGGTGGAGAGGGTGTTATGGCTGTCGAGATCTTGACCTTAATTGCGACATACCTTCAATGGTGTGACCGCAAGCACGACGCTTATCTCCATGTATGCCACCTGCATTCCCTAGGGTCTTTCCAAAAGCTGACTTACATGTACTAGATTGGACTTGCACTGCGACTTGCCATAGCCCTCGGGTGCAACTTACAGGAAAGCGAACAGGGCTGCCTTCCTTCTGAAAGTGCCCACAGGCTACGACTTTGGTGGACGGTATACATGTTAGACAGGTGGGTTTTATGGAGTCTTTATTATCCCATAAGCTAATCAACATATCCAGGCGCCTATCTTCTGGTCTCGGGCTGGCTGCAGGGGCTGACGAGCGACAATTACGCACTGAACTTCCTCGACACGCTGTGGGATTCCAATCTCCAATTGCCCTCGCTATTAACGTACGTATCGCACGGGTCACAGACGAAATCATGTCCAGTGAGTTATACTTGAACTACCCTACATTCTGATCATGGCCGTCTTCTGATGCATGCGTTAAAAATAGCTCTTTATGGTAATAAATCCATTACGCAACTTGAATTGGTCCGAAAAATTCAGGATATTCTTCAAGAACTGCATGATACGAGCCGGTCATTTCCCCAGGCATTAGTGCTTGACTTCAATCGGCCGTTAAAGGCAGTGACTCGCACAGGTGCATCGTTATATCTAATGCTGTTTCAAGTAAGCCTGTCCTCGACTGGAATTATAAGTTAACAACCAGTATCACATGTTAACTTTGAGGTTAGGCAATCATTCTTTGTGCCCGCCCAATACTATTGCAAAGAGCTCGATTGAAAGCACAACGACAACAGCGATCACAAAATTCTGAACCAGTACCGAACATCCTCCTTCGTCTTTGTGAGACGTGCAATGAAGCAGCCACAAAGAGTCTTGCCATACTTGAATCTCTTCGGCAGCAGCAAACAATCCGTGAGTCTTCCTTCCGTTAAGGCCCTACTTCCCCTATTTTGTCACAGTATCTCTCTCGAAGGCTTAATTCTGACTTGATTCAAGCCCGGTATGGCTTTTTCGACCTGGATGCCACCTTTTCCGCTGCCTTTGTACTAGTGATGGTGGGGTTCCTTGACCATTCGCAAACAAAACCACCTTTAGCGCTGGATCAAGCATTCGAAGTGCTCCAGTTTCTATCTCAAGCAGGGAATCTAGCGGCCGAGCGACGCCTCCAAGACATTGCCCACTCCTGTTCCCATGTTTGGCCAGACTATGTCTTCAATGCAGATGAACGACAAAGCGGTGCACTGTCTCGACAGAAGGGTCGGTTCATTGCAGGATCGGGTTCGAGGCAATACCCATTGGCGACTTCTTCGGGCGGTTCACTACCCAATGATTTCGCTTCCGATGGTCGAAATTACCACTCGGATGAGTCCAGACTACTTGAGCCGTGGTCGAATATTGATTTTGCAGGTTCAATGTTCGACATGGACGTAGATTGGGATATGGATCTGTCTGGTGAAGCAGAAGGAATATATTCAAGCTTCCACAATCCGACCTTACCTTTGACGGGAGTTGACTATATCGACTGGTTGGAAATCGAGAAGGTGTTTAGTGGTCCATGAATTGAATTTAAGTGAGTGACTTAACGATGGTAGTGTCACATCCAGGTTGTAATTGACATGCTCTTGTGAGTTCGAGTGACTTCAAATGGCTGTTAGAGTAACCAAATAGAATATAAATAAAGAGATGAAAAGTTGGCAATAACTTCAACTTTGATTCCACGTCTGTACAAGTGTTGATTCGAGACCATCACGTGATCCCTCGTCGAAAGAGCGGTCCCTCAACCTGCAACGCAGTTGTCTCCGACCCATTCCTTTTTTCGTCGCGTCGAGCATTGCAAGCCGACACTTGATCTTCGCTTTTGGTTCTACTTTTGATTATACCCTAACCTCGCTTTCGTCTGAATCTCAAATCGTCCTATAGCTTCCCCGCACTCGCGTCTCTCGCCTCGGACGATGCCAACCCTCGCTGGTTTCCCGCGCGGGTAGAGCTAGCAACTCTCGATAGATTCATATTGTACCGATACCAGAAAATCGGAGCCTTTGTGCTCTGCCACAGCCACAGCCATGGAGGCAGACTGGGATGAGCTGTCGCGCATCCCCATGCCCCCACCCAGTCCGCATGCTATGCCAACTATTGCGACGGCGACGGCATTTGACGATGTTATGGAGCTTTTGTGGACAGGCAATGAATATGTGAGCATTCGTCGATGCGGTCCCCGTGGGACGCGATTCTGACCAATGTTTTCCTTTCTTCCCAGGGCAGGGTCACTTCATTCTACGGACCAGAGCTGCAACGATATACCTCCGTTCGGGCCCATCCAGTATCCGATGGCATGGTACGACAGATTCTCTTTCACGAAAGAGGAGTAATTTCACTATCTTCGAAAAGTGTACATATGATCACGCGGCGAGGCCTGACCCAATGGCATCTTGCTCACGATGAGATGGTCGACCTGCGTTGCATGAGTTTTACTGCCCAAACAAATCGAATTCTCGTCGCAGGTTGTCAGAGAGTGATGTTTACTGTGGATATCGACAAGGGTACAATTGTTGATAAGCTTCCCACCGAATTCGGCTACACCCTCATGAAAAAGAGTCGATATCTCTGCGCGGCTACGGATACAGGATCAGTCAATGCTCTCAGTCTCTCGGACTTTAGTGTTGTCAAGTCATGGAAGGCCCACGGGACAGCTGTCAATGACATGGATGCGCGAAATGACTTGCTGGTTACCTGTGGCTTCTCCGTCCGCCAACTTGGAGCCCCCATTGTGGACCCTCTTGCCAACGTATATGACCTGAAAACCTTGACACCATTGCCTCCGATTCCGTTCCATGCAGGTGCAGCATATGTACGCATGCATCCCAAACTTCACACCACCAGCTTCGTGGCCTCACAGACAGGACAACTCCAAGTGGTGGATCTTATGAATCCAAATGCAGTAAACTTGCGACAGGCCAATGTGTCTCTCATGCTTGGGATCGACTTGTCACCATCTGGAGAGGCATTGGCTATCAACGATGCCGAATGCTCAATTCATCTGTGGGGCTCGCCGACCAAGGTCCATTTCAATGAAATGAGTAAAGAGACGGAATTTGCAGATGTTCCCACACGACCACCTCCGATGGACTGGTCTCCAGACGTTCCACTGAGCATGGTTGGGATGCCTTACTACCATGAACGCCTCCACTCAGCTTGGCCAAGTCATTTGCTTTTCGAGGTTGGCAGTCCGCCTGCTCCATTAGATCAGTCAATACTGCCATATTTACGCCCGGCGGAGATAGGGCATCATGCTCCAAATCCGAGAAAGACTCGTCGAAATCAGGTAGAAAATACCCGGGCTCTCACCACGGCGGAGCCAGCTCTCATTGCACCTAAATTCCTGAGCGAAAAGGCTCGAGATATTAGCAAGTCAGAGGGCGCGATCGGCGATGCAGCTGAGGCGCTGGCCGGGGCAAAAATCAATGGAGAGAGCGATGATGATCCATTGCTCAAGTATAGCAACGTCGAAATCAAGTATAGTCGATTCGGTGTGGATGATTTCGATTTCCGGTAGGACCCTTTTTCATTGCTGTTTGTTCTTGACTCACCATTCAATAGATTTTATAACAAGACCACATTTTCTGGTCTTGAAACTCACATCGCCAACTCCTTCACCAATTCCCTTCTCCAACTTTTCAAGTTTATTCCCCTTTTCCGGAACCTCGCACTAAATCACGCGGCTGGGTCGTGTCTGATTGAACATTGTCTGTTGTGTGAACTAGGCTACTTATTTGACATGTTGGAAAAGGCCAATGGCCAGAATTGTCAGGCCACCAATCTTCTGAAGACATTCAGCAGCTTCCGGGAAGCCTCTAATCTAGGTCTCCTGGAAGAGAATCTTCCCAACAAGTCACTTTCAACAGCCATACAGGCAGTCAACCGTTTCTTCCTGACACAAATAGCTCACGACTTCCGCATGATACAACCAAGTTCTGAGGATCTCGACCAACGTCTCGCCACAGTGGCATCCGAGTCTATTCGGTGTATGTTTTGCCAGAATGAGATTGTTCGTCCTGGCAATTCACTAGCCAATGAACTTGTATACCCGAACATCGACATGAAACATGCACGACGGAATCCGGTATTCCGATTCTCCAACATTCTTCGCGCGAGTATTGAAAGAGAGACACAGAACCGCGGCTGGTGTAATTATTGCCGTCGCTACCAGCAAGTGACTATCCGCAAGTCCATCCATCGTATGCCTTTGGTTCTCGTCCTTAACGCTGCCTTAACCAATCCTCTTTGCCGTCGACTTTGGTCAATGCCAGGCTGGCTCCCTGACGCTGTTGGCATCCTTGTTGATCCTAGTGGACAAGTGATGTGTTTCGAGGGTGATGAGCTCCAACATCGACTTCAAAGTCAGACTCCGGGGCTTGTGGTATACGATCTGGTAGGCTTGGTGGCGGAAATTGACATTCCTGAGCACCAAAAGCCGCATTTGGTGTCCTTTGTCAACGTCTCAATCTCTGGCCGTGAAAACCAAGACCAAAGCAAATGGCATCTGTTCAATGATTTCTTAGTCACCGAGGTCGAAAAGGACGAAGCCTTACGATTCACACAACCTTGGAAACAACCCTGCGTCCTGGCTTACCAAGTCCGAGACCCACGCCATGTCGTCGATGACTCCTGGAAGAATCACCTTGATAAGACCTTGCTATTCCGCGAGTGGTCTTTGAAGTGAGTATCCCCCCTCTTTTTGCTAGAGAAGATGCTAACAAAGTGATCAGTGGTGGTCGTCAAGTGGAGTCATGTCGTACTCTCACCGAGGAAGAGCTGCCAAAGTCCGGGATACCTGTCGCATTAGATACTGAGTTTGTCGATCTTGAAAAGGCTGAGATTGATGTCAAAGCAGATGGATCGCAGGAAATGGTCCGTCCCAACAAGAGTGGGCTGGCTCGTGTATCCGTCTTGCGGGGTCAAGGTATCCAAGAAGGGGTCCCCTTTATTGACGACTATATCATCATTCGAGACCCGATTGTGGACTATGTTACTCAGTATTCTGGTATCAAGCCTGGTGATCTGGATTCGCGGACTAGTGAGCACAATCTCGTGACACTCAAGGCAGCGTACAAGAAGCTATGGTTGCTTTTGAACTTGGGCTGTGTGTTTGTCGGTCACGGTTTGGCATCTGACTTCCGCAAGATCAACATCCAGGTGCCGAAGTCTCAAACGGTGGACACTCAATATCTCTTCTTCCACCCTGGCAAGAACCGTCGCCTCAGTCTGAGGTACCTAGCCTGGGCTGTCTTCAAGGAATACATCCAGGAGGAGCCCACACCCGACACCGTTCAAGGCCACGACTCCATTGAAGATGCTCGCATGGCTTTGCGCCTGTGGAAGAAGTTCCAGGAATACGAGGATGCAGGCATTGTCGCACAAATGCTCGAAGAAATCTTCCGCGAAGGCTCCAAGCTAGGCTTCCGCCCACCTCCTAAAAACGGCGGCACTGCTGCCGTGCTCTCTCGACCCGGTACCGCTGTCACCATGCAGAATGACAGCGGACGCAACACTCCTAGCACCCCCGAAACCCGTTCTGCAGCGATCGCTGCAACTAACGCTCCCAACACTGGGCCTACCAGTGCCCCCACCACTCCTCGCCAGGCTTTCAGGCGATCTATCGCGTTGACTCCCAGCAATGGAAGCTTCTCTGGGCCTGGTGCTGGTGATTTCTTCGGTGGCAGTCCCTTACGATAAATATACATTAGCAGCACTTGGTCTTTTTGGAATACACTATTCTTATGTCTCTGCAGAGTATGCGTAGAATCAATAGAATCAGTTGAAGATACACTACAGTAGTGTTGTATAGCTGGCCAGGAATAGTGGGGTATGACGTGTCGGTCAGCGTTTCTGCCGCAACAGAGACATCCCACTTCTCTCTCCTCAACTAACTTAGTACTGTCCTGTACATCCTGTCGACATTTTGCGTCTTTTCGTTCTTTTCGTTCTTTCAATTGACTTATTACGTCCTCGGACGTCTCTCTTCCTTCCCTCCGTGCCTCCATCCCCCCACCTTCCCTCATGTCGAGACACCGCATCAAAGACGTTGGCTACGATGACGATGATTACTATTCTGATGACGGATATGCGTCGCCGGACCCCGAAGAACAGGAATTCTTGCAGCAGTGCACCGCTGCAGTTTTGCAACAGCTCAGTGCGGGGCAACCGTCCGTGACCGCTACGAAAGAAGAAGTCCAAGAAGCATTATGGCATTACTATAATGATATTGAGAAATCTGTGAATTATCTGAGGGGTATGTTTTTCTTGCAGACGAGTTTCCAGGGTTCCGAGGATTTCGAGAGTTTCGCGGGGGTTGTCGCTTGTTGTAACAGTTTGCTAACGTGATTTTTACAGGGAAGAAGGAAAAGGAGGCTATAAAGCAGAAGCCAAGGGCAGCAGGTAAGCAATATTCTTGCAGAGGTCGTTCTATCGAAGTGCTTTGGCTTGGCTCGGTCGGGGCATCGACTACAACCGGATCGCGAGCTGCAACGTTTAAGAAAGGTGTGTTTTGACTATGACGCGG